AACCTGCATCTCACCTCCATGCTCATAAAATCTCTGGAAATTGAAGCCATTTGAATACAATTAATAATATAACCGTGTCACAAGAGGTAAGTCTATATGGTCACTGGTTAGTGTTAGAAACATTAAGATCCCTCTCAACGTTAGTGGTGAAACTTCTTACCTGACTCCTAAAAGATGCAGCAAAAATTCTTCAACAAATTTTAATGCATAAGATGTTATAGAAGGCCAAGTGTGTTAAATAGATTGTAGTCTAGAATACTGCTAAGTCATATTACTATAACAGTCCTGATCTCTTGGACTACAGGGGTCCAAGAGATTCGTGATCATTCACTGTTAATTGTAAATTCAACGGTTCACTCACTCTTGCACCGTTTTAAGAAACTTTTTTGAATCATTGGATTAATATTCTACGGTAGGTGACCACAATCTCTTGGGACTCCTGTGGTCCAAGAGATCATGACTGATTATTATAATATGTAATACGTTGTAGTTTGTAGAACTGCTCAAATTTCAGTTGCAGGATCGTAGACACGGTATCAATTTCACAAAACCACTACGATCAACCTTGATACTATGACTACAATATGTCCATAAACCTTTTATGAAATGCTCAGAATATACAGAAAGCTTCCATTGAGGGATCCCTCAAATACGCTTATTTGAGGGACATCCTTGTAGGGCTCACTCTGCATTGTATTTCACTAATCCAAACCGTCTAATTTTTAGATAATCATTCAAAGACCATCTCCACAAAAAATCACTTTAATCTGATATCATTTGACCAGTTAATTGAGTTATTGAAATTTTAGTACTTTTTTGAAGCGCCGTGTTCATTGATTTTGTAGGACACAATTGGATGTCGAAAAGGTTTCCGATTTGTCTAATTTTTTGCAAGGATGATCTATGAATGTAGACTTACAAAAATAGACGATTTGGATCGTTGAAAAAAATTCATAGGGGACCCTAAAGGGTGTCCCTTAGGGGACTACATATATACATATATGCTACAACTTACTCAAATGGACAAAATTATGCACCTCCTTGATAAAGAAATGCAAGAAAAGTGAAGAAGATACAAAAGCATACCTCAGGAGCAAGATAACAAAGCCTTCTTCCTCCAGTGTCAAAGAAAAACGAGAAATCAGAAGGGTCGTCGTATGGTATGTAAGTGGGTTTGAAAGATGCAAAGTCAGCAAGGTAGAGCCAATTCCAAGAAGTCACCAACACATTCTCACACTTAATATCACCTTAAGATGACATAAATAAAACAAACAGAAAACCAACCCCATTAATATGACATTGAAAAAAGGGCACTGGTGAAGTTCCTCAACTAACTGAACTCACCATGACATATGCCTTTGTCGTGGCACTGCTTCAGAGCAAGAAGTAACTGCACAGCAAGCACAAGAACATAAAATTGTAAGAGGAACCATAGATGTAAAAGATGGGAGAGGAGAGAGAGAAAGAGAGAGAGAGACCTGAAAAGCCAACCATTTCTTCTCGATGAGACTGAGAAAAGGTCGTGTGCTTAATCGGTCATGCAGATTATTGAAGAAGTATTGCCTTACAAGGTAAGCGGCTTTATCTGTCTCTTGCCAAAACTGCAAAGAGGAAACAGCAGGGAGGCCATATAACTAAATCAAGCAATGCCAACTCTAAATAATTGCTTAAAATAAAATGAACCCAATAAAATTAGAACTCTTAGAGTTAGAAACATCAAATTTTCTCAGCTCCCAAACAGAATCCAACAGTTTCAGAAAAAATTATGTTCCTTAATCATAACAGCTCCCAAACAGAATCCAACAGTTTTAGCAAAAATTATGTTCCTTAATCATAACACATAACTCTCTTGTTAAACACGTGTAATTTCACGAAACCCAATTTTCCATTTGAGTTTCTAAACACCCAAAGTGGAAGAAGAAATTGAAAAGAACCTGGAAGGGCCAAACGTGAGGGTGATCAAGAGCACGGAAGGTCTCCTTGATGTGGAAGAGCCTGCGCTCGTACTCACGGAGATCGATGGAGTCGCCGCGCTTGAAGTAGACCTTGACGAGGACCAAACCCTCGTCGTGCTTGCACTCAATGGACTTGAAGAAGCGGCCTCGGCCTAGAACCTCCTTCAGGACGAGGTTATAGGAGGACGGCAGGTCGTGCAGGTAGTATTCCGACGCCGAGACTTGAGTCGTTCGAGCGATCTTGTTGCCCATGGCTTTTGCCTCTGGCTCCGAATTTCCCAATTGATTTTCTCAGCCATTCATTTTGTTTTGTATAATTTATTAGAGCTCAAGCTGCAGAAGTAAATAAATAAATAATAGAGGTTAGGAAGGGCTGGCAGGAAAGTGGAGGATTTTTGCAGGTTTTTGGGGTGGGGAAGAAGAAGGGGTGAAAACAGAAGAAAAGGAACCAAGTAGAATTGAAATTGAAAAGCAGAAGAGGGCTCGGGTGGGTTTTACTGGAGTGAAATCATCGCGAGGGTCGGATTTAAAATAAATGCAAAAGAGTTAATTTTTGGGAAATAGCTCTAAATACCAGCCTTTTTATAATTTTAACTGAAAATACCACCTCTCCCCAAATTTTTTGCAACTATCACCTATAAATATATATTTATTGTCCACTTATTGCACACATCACTTTTACTGAAATTTTGTTTTCTCTCTATCGCGCCTCTCACTCTCTTTGTCGCTCAGCTCTCTCTGTCTCCGTCGCTTAGGTCTCACTCTCTCTTCAGTCAGCTCTCACTCTCTTCTTTATTTCACCATTGAGGGAAGCTCTCGATCTCTCTTGCGCAGCTCTCTCTCTCTCTCTCTGACGTAGTGGTCTTCCTCTTCCATCGTTCACCTGCAAAAGGTACTGTTCATTGTCAATTTGAATTGGTTTAAGGGTTTCTCTGAAGTTGGTTTAGGGTATATGGGTTTCTATGAAATTGTTTAGGGGTTTCTTCGAAATTGGTTTAGGGTTTATGGGTTTTTATGAATTGGTTAGGGGTTTCTTCGAACCTTCGAAATTGGTTTAGGGTTTAGGGGTTTGTCTGAAATTGGTTTTGGAGTTTCTCTGAAATTGGTTTTGGAGTTTCTCTGAAATTGGTTTAGGGTTTAGGGGTTTTTATGAAATTGTTAGATTTTGATGATTCCTTGTTTGAAACAGTGAAGGAGTTTGTTCTTTGTTCTTTGTTTGAAACTGTTGTTGTTTTGCTGTTGTTATTGATGTTGTATTGCTATTTTATTACTGTTGGATTGCCATTTAGTGGTGTTTTATTGGCATCGTAGTGCTGTTGTATTGTTAGTTTATTATGGTTTTATTCCCGTTCCATTGTGGTTTTAATGGTTTTGGCGATTTATGCAATTGGATTTTATGTTTGTTTGTTGTTTTGTTTCATCCAAAGAAGGGAAATTGTAGGTCTTCATTTATAGTCTCTACATTAGTCACATGAATCTTTATAGTTTGTTTTGCAGTTGCAATACCTTTTGTTGGAAATTTAATATTAGCTAGTATTTATTTTTCCATTTGAATGGAAATTAATATAGTTCATTGGACGATAGTGTCCTTTGTCAATTTTTAGGAAGAGGTATCAAAGCACCTGTTTATTCAATGAATGCATTAGTTGGTTTTTTTATATTGGGACATGCCTTTTTGAAAAGGGTTCTTTAGTATCTATAAATACAATAGTGTTCTTGTAATTAAAATAAGGGAATTGATTCAGTCAATGTTTATCTATTTGAATACAGAGAGGGTTTCCTACATAATCTAGTTCAAAGAGTCCTTATGTAAGGCATAATTCGTCTTAAGGTCAGAGTGTCCAACACTTGCCTCGATTCAATTATTCAAGTTCTTCTAATCCATATTATGTGCTTTTTGATTGTGTATGTTTGTAAACATGTGTTAATTTTGAAGCATGAATTGAATGATTATTTCTGAATTTGTTTGTGACTAAGTGGGGAAGGCTTGATGCAGTTGGGGTAGTTCTTTTAGCCTTTGCTTTGAAACCGTGTATGAAGTTCATCCTTGGGGCATGAAATCACTTTGACAGTTGGGTGGTGTTTGGTTTGTGGATGGAATGTAATCCAGATTTAGTAAAATGGAATGTAGATAAGAGTGGAGTGTGGAAGAGTTTGAGAGTAGATAAGAAATTGAGATTGGGTAAAAAATGCAATTTGTATTATTTCACATTTCAGGGGATTGACAGTTGATGGGAATGGTCATTTCATTCCACAGTTTTTTCTGTCATGGGGCATTGGTGAACATACATGCATTGCATATCAGGTTTGAACATACATGCATTGCATATCAGGTTATATTGCCCCTATATTGCATGGTTATCACTGATATATCTCGTGCCTATTGCCTTGATATGCCTTTGTATTGTGTGTTTATTGCTTGTTATTGTGTATATTTCAACGGCCTGAACTTATTTGTATAATGTTGGTGTGCAGGGAAATATTGGTTCTATAGTAAAGTTGATGATTGATGAGGATGAAAAGTTCTAGAGAAAGGCGTTCTCCCTTTCCTATACGAAGACCGCGATAAGCACAATTAAGGAGAAATTGAGTCTGCAACAGTTAATTAGGTTCAAAGACAGTTGTTTTGGTCATCTATTACTCATTGAGGACCTTAAGTGGACTTCACAAATTGTCCATGGCTTGTTGTTGAGGAAGGCTGATCCCAAGACAGTTTCCCAAGTCAACGGGATAAAATTCATTGTTGGTAATAAGGTGATACAATTCATAGCATCATCACAGGGCTAAGGTTTGGCAACCTTCCTTTTATTTCAATTGAAACTAATGAGAACTGCTCATTGAAAAATAAGTACTTTTGCAACGATAAAACTGTCACCCTTTCGGAACTAGAAAAAGCCTTCATTGACTGTGCTGATGAGGAGGATGTATTGAAGCTTGGATTTCTATATTTTGCTGTTTTTGTGCTGTTGGGTAATAAAAAACATGTCAACATTGACATGTGGTATTTGACATTGGCGGAAGACCTTGAAGAGTTTCTAAGTATCCATGGGGTGCTGTTTCATGTGCGAAGACAAATGCCTCACTTTTGAGGGCACTTTGCGCAGATTACTAGCGAGTAAAAGTGCCCCAAAAAGCTACAAAAATAAATTTTTTTTTGAAAATAAAGCAAAGACAACGGCAAGTGGTAGACCAAGAGAGTACCACATCAAAGGTTTTGGGTTTGCACTTCAGGTGAGTAAATTTCCATTAATGTATAAGTTCAATTTCATTTGTTTACAGTGATTGACGTTTTATTCTACTGTTTAGATTTGGGCTTTTGAGGTGTTTCTAGCTTTGGCTGCACTGCATTTTGTCGTGCACGAAGAGAATGGCCACATCCCTCATATACTACAATGGAGAAGCAATACTTCGACTCGTTTTCATGAGCTAATGAGCCAAGTATTCTAAAACTGTGAGGTTAGTTATGTTTGTAATGATAATGTTATGCATATGAAAATATAAGAAGTTTACTAATGTGTATTTTGTATGTGTAAATTGCAGGTTGATGTGCAACTTCTCCGCCCAAGTGTAATTGACAAGCAACAGCCCTATTGGACTTGGGGTGACAGTGTTGACAACAATGAAGAAATTGTAGAATTGTTTGTTGATGAGGCCGAAGAAAAAACCAGCATTTCTGTTGAACAAAAAGATGATGAATTTGATGAAGCTGTTATCCTTCCGTCGTTTTCTAAGGTAAGCATGACAAGACCCTCCCCGAATCTCCTCGGAAACCGGGACGGACCCCGTCTAAATTCCGACATCACCCTGATGCCGAGCCCACATACTAAAGACTGAGACTTTCTGCCGAAAATCCGACAGAGTCTCCCCTGTAAAAATGATCATTCCCAAACTTTAACCTGTTCAAAATTACAGTTACAAACAACCAACTGGCAGCACGCTTTTAAACGCAATAAAATAATTTACAAACAAGGCCTCTAGGCTCACAAATTTAAACCCTCAGCGGGCGATACAGAGCATATCTAAGGAATTCAAAATACAATCGAAGTACCGTTTAACTGAAAGGAAAAAGTACCAAGAGTCTCTACGAAGACTCGAGTTCCAAGATGCACCCGGTCCGGCTCAACTGCAGAGCTCAGTCGCTACTGGCTGGGGGACGCAAAACAAAAAGTTGTGAGTGGACAAAAATCAAGTTCAGTTCAATTGAAATCAAAGTAGTATAACCCCCATCTTTATTAAAACATGCAATGAAACCATAAGCATAACAAAACCATCAGAAATAGTATATAAACATATACTAACGCATATATACCGGATCTCAAATCTGTAATTCGTGAATAATGCTTCACGAAACCCACCACTCAACTTAAGAGTCCCGAGAGATTAGACTCTCGTAAACGTACTCAAAGGTACGACCGGCGAGGAAGTATCCTTACCGAGAAATAGAATGAAGGAACATTCATACATATATATATATACAAATACATACATAATAATAATATGATATAACATAATAATAATAATAATAATAGTATATAAATATAACCAATATTTACTTGTACCGGGGAAACAATCCAACCGGGGGACTGTTTGACTAGTCCACATGGCAGAGCCATTCCTCAATTCACCATGTGTCTAGGGAACGAGCCGTCCAACTGGGGGACTAACTCTCAGCCAGCACGTACAGCCGACGCAGTCAAAGCTTGTACGCTTGAAATACCAGTCCTACGTGCGCAGACTACCCCAAATCCAGGGTCCACAGCAACATCCCCTCAAGGATGTCCTGAGTTCTAATAATTTCAAAAGTATCCAATATCTGTAACCAAATTCAGATCAGGGGAGGTACATAAATTAGTGCTTAACGCACTCCAAATAACATATCAAACATTACCTTTCCATAGCTCATATTAACCACCAAGTACCCCATGCATAGCCGCATGTAAATATAGATTCTCAAAATTCAAATATCAAATAAGTTTTATGAAAACCTCGAATTCACATTCGAGTGTATATAAATAATTAATAGACATAATAAAACAATATGCCATATTTCCATGAATAAAATCATACTGAGTTTCGAAAGAAAAGTCCACTCACAAGCAGTCCCACACAGCTTGACCCTTAGAGGGTCCCGCCTGCTGCGTATGCTGGGTCGGAGTACCTGATTCAGAATACGAAAATGCGATGAACATCAAGCGCTTCAAAATAGAACTTTAAAATAAAACCCTAGCTTCCCGGGTTTCCAGTGAGTACGAGGAAATACATGTTCTAAGGTCCAACTACCCAATTCGCACGATGAAACAGCTTCGGAAGACACTCGGTCAACCGACGGTCAAACTTCCCAATTCGGGTCAACCGGGCCCACGGGACCCACTACCTCCGTTTTTCAATCCGTCGAATCTTACATGATCCTAAGGGTGTCTAAAGTAACATACTTCAATTTGAAAACGATCCAACGGTCAGAACATATCGAACCCGGATAACGCACAATATGCGATAATCCATTCGATAGTCAAACGACCTTGGAATCGAGATCCGCGAAATCCTACACGCTCATGACAACCTAAGGATCACACTGGAACAATTTGCAGCTCCACCACACTTGCCCACGCGCCGGCAACAAGCGGGTGTGCAGAGAAATTCCGGCGACGGAAAATCTCCAAATCACAAGTCACCCTCCCGGCTACAGGTCCTACTCAACTAAGGGAGCACTTCATTCAACTACGGCCAAGCCCAAAACCACCGGGAACTGGCCGGAATTTCGAATTGAAAACCGGCCAAAAACCTAATTCGAAAATAACTTCCAAAACCTCAAAATCGTTTCAATCCTAAGCAACAGGCAGCTAGAACAGATAAAAAGAAGGAGACTAAAGCGGTGGTGCAATGATCGGAAAACCTCCGATTCGAACCAGTCGTAACTGTCGGCGGTTCTCGAGCTTTACAGTCGGGATTTTGGGTGGGTCAGGTCCGGGACTTCACTACGAGTTGAACGGGACCGGTCTCGAGGGCTGGGGTGGCCGGATGTGGTGGCGGCGTGGATTTTTCTGTTCGGGTGAACAGTGACGAGAGAGAGTTCGCGGGAGAGAGAGAGAACGCACGGGAGAGAGAGAAAGAAAGAGTGAAATGAAATTGAAGAATCTGATTTTTACAAATACCCTTTTCGAATTATTTACGATTTTGCCACCGAAAGTAATTTGATCGCCAAAACTTCGTTATAACTCCGATTCACGCCTACCGCTTATCCACGAATTCATGTCAGAACCACCTACGCAACCAAACCACTTGTGGTCCCAAAATCCTTCCGGACAAGTAAATGACCAAAATACCCTACCCCAAGGGTAGTTTCGTAATTTCACAGTTAATTTAATTTTAACCTTTTGAATTGGAAAATTAAATAGAGTCGGGGTGTTACAAAGCATGACCTTTTTGCAATATATACGTCATAATAAACTTAATGGCACTGCTATATAATCAGTATATAGTCAATATATAAACAATACAATAGCAAAACTGTAGCTGTATTTGGGTTATATTTTGTAAGTATTGTAACAGTTGCATTATAACTGAATGCAAATTAAAGTGTCGTCCATTGAAGCGTGACTTTCAAACCACAAAGGATGAATTGGCAAAACTACCTAGTTCAAATCGAGCGCTTCGAAAGAGAGTGCATGACTTGGAAGAAATGGTATGGAAGGAGTCGTTGAAACATGAGAAGGAGTGTAAAAAAAAAGTGTGTAGAGGATTTCGGCAAGACCCTCGCTTCAATTGAACAATATTTTAAGCTGGAGATAGAGCAGTTGAAAAACGAAATGGAGGGTTGAATTAACGTGGGGAAGGACATGAGGAAGTCGGTAGTCCTCATATGAATGAAAAAGGCGATAATGACATGTCGCCCTTACATGACTACATTACTCCGACTACAAAATTGGCAGAAATGGAAGCACAAGTCTCCGGTGATGGAGCCGAAGCCTACGTTGCCATGGAAGTCCAAGAGCCAGAAACGGGCGCTTTATTTCCTCACATACAAGTGTAGCCAGAAGCTGAGCAACCAGAATCAGAGAAGCTTCCTACTTCGAAAGATGTGGACGGGTGCGGAGTAATCTACAAAAAACTGTTATCTCTGTTAGAGGATTGGAAAAATAGTGACATTATGCCATCAGAAGGTCAGATGAATCCTCCCATCATACCCAATGTTATTGTGGCTGGTGATGACGAAGGTAGTGCCACTATTGAAAACGAAGACGTGGAAGGTAACGGGTGCAGAAAGTAGCGACCGGCCCAGGAAGAAGAGGACGATGACTGTTTCGGATGCGGAGGCAACCCCGCCATGTTTTGATCCAACTAAACCCCTGCCCATTAAAGATGTCAAGGCAGTAATAGAGTTTTACACTGCCTGAAAAAAAAATATAAGGTTAGGATTTTTTACCTTGGAAATCCAATATTCATGTTATTGTAGTATGCAGTGATATACCAATAAGAAAATGTAGCTACCTTTAATATACATGTTTGTATTTGTCATATTTTATAATGTGCCAATTATTAAATGATTACAAAATTCATCGTTGGAAGTTTGCCTATTATAATGCGAAGGTGCAGCTGGAATCATGTTCAGTGGGCCTAGAGTTTTTTTACAAACTTATAGATGATCCCGAATGGATTAGCCCAAGGGTAAGAATTTGAACTCTACGTCATTAGGATAATTCAATTGTTTTCTCACCTTTGTTTTCTGTACATTTGTATGAAATTTTGGTCATCTTATTTACTTCAACTTCCAGCACCTTGACATGGCAATGTTTCTTATCCGAAAAAGGCAACTCTATCATCCTTTGGTATTTGGAACTGACTGGACAACTGTAGATTATTGTTTGTAGGTAAACATGTGAACATGTTACATTCACTACTTTAGTTGCATTGGTTCGTCATTATGTAATATGCCTTAATTTCAATGCTTGCAGCAATTTCTAAAGCCGGTCAAAGCACCTGCAAAGAAACGAAGATCGAAAAAAGCAACTGCTTCAAACACCGTTGACCTTCAACTCAGCTACCTAAAGAAGATACATCACTTTGTGCACGGTATATGGCAACATGGGTATGGGGAAGCTTGGACCAAAGTCCAGAAGGTGCATTTTCCATATAATCTTCAAGGGTCCCATTGGGTGGCAATTGAAATTGACTTCATGAGACATATTGCGACTGTGTAGGACTCCTGTATTGCTTTTACCTCAACTTCCAAGATGGTCAAATATCTGCACCCTATTAGCGATATTCTGGCGCGGGTGCTGTACAATATGGGTTTTTATGACGCTTCTGAGGTTGAAGAGGTTAAGCAAAAAGGGATGAAGATGTCCACGTTTACGCCATTCACAGTTTACAGCATTGGAGATGTGCCACAACAACGTGATGGGTAAGCTTTGTGAATTTAGTGTAGTTTATCGATATTGTACATAATTGCAGTTTTAATTTATGAACTTATTGCCCCGACAATACCTCTTGCGGAATGACAGTCAAATTCATCGAGCATCTTAGTGCTGACATTTCGTTGGATAAAGTTGACCCATTGAAGATCACATGTTACTGACTCAAGCTTGCGATATAGGCTTTAAGGGGGGAGGCATATATATGAGGTAAATGTGATACTCTCTGTGAATTGAGTTCAGTCTTCACTTATCACTTGGGAATTCACTGTGCTCCTTGATTATGTCATGAAATCCTTTATATGAAGATGCAGACATCGAAGCTCTATTGGAGGTGCCCTATATGGTGATCCATCCATTTTGATAGAGCTATTTGGTTTGGTTATTCTCTGTAGCAAGGTGAAATCATTTACAAGGTCTTCGGCCATGTTGTACATGATGAAATGTAATATTGTACAGTCGGTGGCGGTGGCTAATTGCCTTACATGGCACATAAACTGTTTCCATTTTGTAGGCATGGCAAATAAAGTATTGTCAAACCAAATTGGGTAGTACGTCTAATCAATACCACTAGGGATGTATTTGGCATTCAGTTTTGAAATTGGGGTTTCGTTTTTGAGTTGCCGTCGTGGTTAGCGTACTTATTCTTTACATTGTGAAGTTGAACTATTTTGTACAGCTCAATATATAAACATACTTGCCCTTTATGGAGGTATATCAATTTACTTGTTTGAAATGACGTGTTCCTTTTCACTGAATTGTGCTCATTTTGTATCCATTTTGACATTTGGTCTTTGTAGTTTTCTTCATTTTTCTGTGCTCAATCCAACCATATACAGAACATAAAATTTGCATAATTGGTTGAAAAGTTAAAGGTGAAAAAATAGACAGATGTCAAAACTGAAAAACAGAGGAAGTGCATAATTCGTTTCTGCCTAAAACGCAATAAACTGGTGCTACCTTGGTGATACAGTGGCGATAAAAGGGTGCTAGAAATTGTTGTGTGTGTTTATTTTGGGTTTCTCGTTTTGTTTCATTTCATTTACTTATCATTACTCATTACTAGTTAATAATTGGATGATTACGAGATTAATTTGTGTCAATTATTAATACAATAATTACATATATGAAGATTAAGACGAACAACATATCATATCACCAAACATAATCATACCACCAAATATAATCATGCTTTTCTTCAACCCATCACCAAGCATTTGCATGTTTATTCATACCTGTTCACCCGTTTTATGTTTGTTCCTGTGATGGTATGGTAAAGTTCATCATTGCCTTGAAAACCATTGACTGGTCAACAAGCCAATTTTCTTTAGTGTGCGAGCGTGCCACTGTTAGCAATAAAGAATCCCAGCAGACTTTAAAATAGATAATTTGGGCCCCAAGTTACTAATTTCTGAACAAGCGATTGTGAATTTGGGTGAAGAATATCTCCCAAGTAATTTCTTTTTTTGCCTCAGATTGGTGAGGACTTCACAATTTTTCACAGTATAAAACTGGTAGTTCTGGCCAGAATAAATGATAAGAAGACGAACTTTTTTTTTATTATTTAAAAATTTTAAAATTTTAGTCAGAAGTGCCTTTTACAAAACTCAAAAGGGAAAAACCAACTCTAGAAAGACAAAAAAAAAGGGCTAGACTTCTATTTCTGTCTGGATAGAAGCTTCTGATTCGGGCTGGACTGGGTATGCTTGTGCTAGATTGGACTGTCAACAACTTCAACTGCTAAGCTTCAGCTGTAAATCGATACCAACGTTCGAGTTTGGCAGAGCTTTAACCTATTTCAAGCCCTAGAAAGCTTTTTGAATGGGCAGAATTTTGGCCTCTTCAGTCTGAAATGGGCAGAAGTGGCTGGACTTGAGGATTACTGAGCTGGAATTACACTGTGATACCTGTTCTGCTTGGTCAAGGCTCTCCATACATTTTGTTGAGGTTTTCATATTTGTAAAAAAAAACCCAAACTCTGCTTGTTTTGGCTTTTGTTGAACCAAATTTGTAACGAGAGAAATCCCGTTTTGAATGACTTTTCTCTAAGTCTGAAACTGGAAGTTTTGATTTGTAGTTGGCTTCTTTCTCGTGGCTCAATGAGCTTTTGGTTGCTTCAGTTTGTTTGAAGGTTCTTTGAGATCAAGTGATAATTTGAGTTTTTTTCTTTGATTGATTTTTTTATGCCTTTTGCTCTGTTCACCCTCTCTTATATTTATAAGAAATGCTTTGGAGGGGGCTTCTAATCTTTTAATAATGAGCGGTAAAATTTTATTAAAAGATCTTTCATTTTTAAATGCAAAGAAAAAGGGGTTTTATCAATTCTGGCAGGTACGCCCTCAATCGTCAGTTCTATGGCAATCACTTCTCTGTATTTTTTAAAGGAAACCTAACCCTTCTTCCAATTCAACTGTTTTTGTAAGAGCTCAAACTGTGACGGTTAGTTTGATTTTCCAGTTTTGAACAACTCTCTGCTTCCTACTTATCTCCCAAAATGTAGTCTGCTTATCTTTTTGGAGCAAAAAATATCTCTGAATATATGTAAGAGAGATTTGATCTTCCGGTTGCAGAGATTTTCAGAGATGTCCTTCCTTTATACCTGCCCTTGTCAACTTTTTACCAACCCAGTTGAAATTGCTGACTTTTCCAAGTCAGGAGATCACGTGGGTTTGTCTCCAATTTTGGGCTTTTCTTCTCTTTTAATCATGCCAAGCCTAGGTCGAGTTTTTGGAGCTATGGGCTGATTTCTTTTTCTTCTTTTTCGAAGCCCAAGTTTTTTTGATAGATCTTGTGTTGGGCTTTTTTAGATTTTGGGCCCTTGATTCTTCTAATCGAAAAGTCCAGATTGCTTGGTCCTTGTAGTTTGTTTTGTTTTTCTGGGCTTTTCAGTGTTGGGTTGGGTGTGCAGAATTTTGGCCCAAACAATACCATCCTTTTTTTATAAATAATTTTTTCATAGTTATTATTTTTTAAAATTATTTCTTTCAACATCTTATGGTGTAATTATGATGCAGCTAAGTGCCTCTTTTTGAAAGGAACGTTGTTTCTTTCTCATCTTCTTCTTCTTTTCGAATTAAGTAGGCCCTAAACCCTAAACCCTAAACCCATTGATGATCCCTTGTCAATATACATACAATAGAATAGCAATATTAGGCCAATATACATACAATATGGGAGCAATATTAGAGCAATATACTTGCAATGGGGTAGCAATAGTATCTCAATATACATGCAATAGGGTGGCAATATGTATACAATATATGTGCAATATATTGGCAATATTAATACAATACACATACAATAGGATAGCAATTTTAAGTCAATCTACATACAATACACAAACATCCATTTCAGACTACATTTTATACATGCAAAATAAATGGCCACCAAACCCTAACAATACTATCCTGCGAAGGGAAAACGAAGGCAACACTTTCACATCGCATCACTGAGCACCACATGAACCAAATCAGCACTCACCCTTACCCAGCTGCAAAAAACTTAGCAAATGCAAATTTTTAGAGGTTCACCAAAAGATCCATGTCTTTGGCCTTCATCCTCGCTGCATGCACGAGGCTATGATGAGCCATTCCCTCCCCACCCATATTCAGCACCTGCCAGACACCAGCTACATCAATTTCGCTCCAATTGTAGTATGGTGAGATGACCGAAGCATAATCTTAGAACATCTCGAAGCCGTTGTTGGAACTTTCAACCATTTCATGGTTATATTCTTCAGATTTTGTGAATTGTTGGACAACGTATTTGTTTGTTTCTTCTAATTTTAACTTAAGAGACTCTAACTCTTCGCTCCGACTTATTTCTTTTAGAGTTTGCTTCACTTTTCCAGCATATGCTTGTTCAACTTGTTGGCCAAGTTTCCCATAACTTGGCCATGAATATCACATTTGTTCTCCCACCAATCTATTGCCTTAGACAAATATTGGAGGTTGTTCACCTGTTTTGGATTTGTTCTTGTGATGGTAGGATAAAGTTCTCCATTGTCTTAAAAACCATTTGTGGTCAACAAGTCAACTTTCTTTTGTATATGAGCGTGCCATTGCTAGCGATAAAAACCTTAGCAGACTTCTTAAAAATGCATAACTTGTGCCCCAAGTTACTGATTTCTAAACAAGCGATTGTGAATTTGGGTGAGGAATATCTCCCAAGTAAGTTCTTTTCTTGCCTCAGACTGGTGAGGACTTCACAATTTTTCACAGTACAAAACTGGTAGTTCGGGCCAAAATAAATGATAAGAAAGTGAACTGTTTTCAAGTAGAACTGCCTTTTACAAAGCTCAAAAAGGGAAGACCAAGTCTAAAAAAGATAAAAGAGCGTTGAACTTCAATTTCTGCCTAGATATATGCTTATGATCCTAGCTGGACTGGGTATGTCTGTGATAGATTGGACTATCAACACCTTCAACTGTAAATCAATACCAACGTTTGAGTTTGGTAGAGCTTTAATCTATTTCAAGCCCTGGAAGGGTTTTTGAACGGGCAGAATTGGAACCTCTTTAGGCTGGATTTGATGTTTACTGAGCAGGAACAGCACTGTAGTACCTGTTCTACTTGATCAAGGCTTTCCATAAATTTGTTGAGGTTTTCATATTTGTACAAAAAAAATACACCGGACTCTACTTGATTTGGCTTATGCTAAACCAAATTTGTAACGAGAGAAATCTCGCTTTGTATGACTATTTCTCTGAATTGAACTGAAGTCAAGGATTCTGAGTTATAGTTGACTTGTTTCTTGTGGCTCAATGAGCTTTGGTGTCTTCAGTATTTTGAAGGTTTTTGAGATCAAGTGATCATTTTGAGTTTTTGTTTTTGATTGATTTTTTGGCTGTCCTTTGATCTGTTCACCTCCTCTCATATTTATAGAAAATGTTGGAGTGGGATTTCTAATCTTTTAATAATGGGCGGCAGATTTTCTAAAAGCAAGATCTTTTATTTTTAAATGTCAAAGAAAAGGGGAATTCTATCTATTATGTCAAAAAGCTATCAACAGTCTGTTCTTATGGTGATCACTTCTCTGTTTTTGAAAGAAAACCTAATCCCTTTTTATCCTTTAATTGCTTTTTGTAAGAGTTCAATCTGCCGTGATGGTTAGTTTGATTTTCTTGATGAACAACTCCCTTCTCCCTACATATCTCTTTAGAAAATGTAGTTTGCTTATCCTTGGAAATGGCACCTGCTCTGGAGCAGAATTTTCTTTGTATATAGAAAGGGATTTTGATCTCCTTTGCTGGAAAGATTCAGAGAAGTCTTCCTTTTATACCTGCCTTCATTAACTCTCTATCAACTCCTTTGTGATAGTTGAGATTTTTGACTTTTTCAAAGTTTAGGATTTCACGTGGGGCTTCCTAAAAAAGATCTGCTGACTTTGTCTCTTTTTGGGGTAGAGATCAACTGGTGTAAAAAAGGCTGTGCTAGTTTCTTCTATTCTCAGTCGATAAAAAGCCCAAATGTTTTTTGTTCATGGGCCTTTCTAATAAAAAGTGGGCTTGGCGTATCGAGTTTTGGCCCACGAACTCAAGGTAAATTGTGGTGGCTGCCAAAATTTGACATGGGATTTTTGATTTTGGACTGGGCGTGCCAAATAGAGGTCGAGCTTCATAGCAGAGATTTTGTTAAGCGGATCATTGCTCTCAGACTCACTTCTAGATGAAGTGGAATCGTGATTTAGAGTCAGAGGTGGACATGGGAACGGCACATGCCACGGGTGATCTTCTGGGTAACTGACATGGTCGTTTGGAGGGCGTACGTCTGCCATCTTTAAGTATTGCTAGGGACAATACACAGCTGCAGTCTGGAAAAAAACATTTCAAAGGTATATTTAGTCTCCAGTTGTACCTATTGAAAACTTGTAAACAACAATATGGTGAGCTTTACTGGAGAATGTTTGCCTTTGAGTAGGTTAAGAATAATTACCTTTCCTAAACCTGAAGTTAAGAAGCTGCCTATGCTTGAGTTATATATACGAAGCTTCAGTTATGTATAGAAACTTGTCAAATTTATATTGTGTTAAAGAAGTTAGTTACATGTCTATCTATGACGAAATTGGGTATGTAGTTGGTGCATTAAATTAATTGGATTGCAATGTACCCCATTTACTCATTGGCTGTAATTTTGAGTACTAGAGCATTACAATAACAACACTACAATTGGATTACAAACACGAAAAACCAAACCTTAATGGGAAATTGGAAATTGTGGATTTCAGGCCAAAATTGGACAATGTAACTAAGAAATTTTTGGAAATTTGAAAAAAATACAAAACAAAATTGCAAAATTGGAAAATTGGCAAATTACCTTATTGGGAAATTGCCAATTTCCTAATTTACTGAAATGACACAAATATTGAAAATGACAAAACCTGAAGAACAACGAAAATACGAAAACGTTATATGGCCGAAAAACACATACAAAGCACTACGAATAAAATTGGAAATTTGGGAACATACCCAATTTTCCACAAAGGAAATTGGTACATATGAAAAAGGATATTGGGCAAATACGAAATAGGAAAATAGGAAAATTGGAAACCAATTGGAATGGAAAAAAAAAGGGAAATAGGTATTGCCGTACTAGACAAATTGAATAAGTTGGTACGTTTACATATAAAGGGTATGAAAGCAAAAATCGAAATTGCCCCTGCCACTGCAGTTTTGGAATTCAAGGAATCTGACTAAATGGCCCGGTTGAAGCAACAACAAGTGGAAACCGGATTTGAACTATTTCGCAAGTTTGCAAAAATAGTGGATCCAAAAGGAAACTGGGACAACATCACTGTGGGCGGGGTCATGAATTTCATGGGTCGCGATCTCCGGAATTGAAGAGTATGCAACTTTGAATGTGTCAATAGTAGGAAAGTTGTGACACTTTAATATGACTTTAGACATTGTAAAATGTAGTGGAAACAACCTGTAAAATGGAACTATGAGGTGGCCTCTTTTTGTGTTATGTAACTATGGGGTGGCCTGTTGTTGTATTATGTAAGTTTTGAAATTGGATTTGATGGAATTATCATGCCTATGTTTGTATTTGTGCGTATACAGTTTCCTTTATCTGTATCCAGTTCAAACAATTATAGCAGCAATAAATCCACAATACACATGCGTATAATGACAATATGATATGAATAAGAGCACAATAAAGTTACAATAGAGTTACAATACGATACTATTGCAGTAGGTACTGCATCCCGTAAAAGAGCTCAGCTCCTACCCTCACATGGCGGACTAGGGGGCTCTTCCCTCTACATATTCACAGAATTCAGCTTCTCATTTCGTCGATTGAAACAACTAGCCAACCTTTGTCATGCATCATACCCCAACTTAATAGGGTTGGAGCCATTGGAAGACATATATGTTCACGGCGTTCATGATGCTCAACAACTCATCCATGTCCTTTGAGACATACAAGCATTTATTGCCATTGATCACACCCAGTTACCTGTGAAACTCATTGTCATTGATTCCATTGCTGCATTGTTCCGATCACAGTATGAGACAACACTAGCATATTTGAAACGGCGGTCTAAAATGTTTTTCAAGATATCTGGAACATTGAAGGCTGTAGCAAATGCGTTTGGGGTGGCAGTGAATGGGGTGAGGTTGGGAAACTTGGAGTGCTTGCACACATCGGGTAGACGAGTGAGTCCAGCTTTTGTTTGTGCCTAATAAATCACGATCATGAACTGATTGAAGGGACTTCCCTTCGGCCCTGGCGCCTACCGTTTCATTGGGCATTTCGCCTTCCTAAGAGGAGAAGGAAAGCTGCAAAGGCAGAATCCCCTCGGCCTTGCAACCACAGTTTTAAAAGCCGAGGCCGAAGGCCGTAAAAGACACAGTCTGAAAAGCTGTGGTTGAATCACCATGTGGCCTCAGGGCCCCACGCTCCATTTAATGAAGTAATGCCTCTGACTTCGCAACAAAACCCACTAGTCACAAAAAATATTCAATGCATGAGGGAAGTGACGGATTTGGTGATGGGAATTAGGGTGGTTAGGCGCAGACATTCTCACAAGTAATCTTACGACTTAGGGTCAGGTCACCATCCACCAGACTAGGGTATTAAATGCGTTCCCACGGCCAAGGGGGCAGAACCCACGATCAGGGCGGTGGCCGAGATTTGCCGAGATTTATGGGGTCACACCACCATGCTTCTCAACCCCAGGCCACCATGCTTCACGATCCCAAATGCCGATTTGACTACCCACTTGCCCCGGTCAGGCTCCACCACGCAGGTCTTGTCAGCCTCGAATGTCCCTCCAGGACTCCTATAAATACTAAGCTCAGGACTACATTCAAGGGGTTCAAACACCAAAACCAAAAGCCGCCCATGGAGCAAATTATATTTTCCTGTAATGCACTTTCAATACCTTTATTTGCTTTCTTAGGAGTAGTGGTAGACTGTAAGGAAAATCCATTCATCAATATATCATACGACCCTTGATTTTCAAGGCGCTGAAGCACCATCTCTGTTATCGCCTCACTCACCCTATATATCATACGACCGTCGCTCTCTGAGCAACGCGCCAGAGCACCGTCACCAACACCACCACTAAACGGCCTTGTAGCTCAGGCCGTGAACCCGACGGCCGAGATTCGTTCCTCACTCGGCCACAATCATTTGATTAGGAGTCGAACGTGAAACAGGCTCAACATTTAAACCATCTTTTACCCGAACCTCATCATCATCTCAACGCACGGTAGACCGTGCTGGCACGCCCGCGCACAACCGCACCGCATCCAAAAGAAGGACGTCACATGTTGACGCGCATCCCCTAGGCCCGGAGCACCAGGCCGCGAGATTCGAGGGTGTTCTTGGCAAGACATGAGCAATTTGTTGGGTTAACAATCGTAATGCTCCTTCAGCAACTATATCCAGTCAAACACATAGGACATTTCACCTTATATTTGCCCCACATTTGCCCCATGCATCGGCTGAATTTGTAATCAGAAAAGAAGGTGTAGTAGGAGTATCACGGTAATTGTGTAATAATGGCATTCTAAGAACTTTAATGTTGTGGATCCATTTAGAGTTACATTCTAGGCCCTTTAATTTTGTACTCACAGTTTACATTGCAATAGCAATACCAGTACAATAAAAGTACAATATAATACAATATGAAGGCAATAAAATTACAATACGATAGTGATATTATGAATATAAATAGGGAACACACCATGCTGTATAGCAATGCAACCCAAATTATGCAAATTTAACAGAATTCACATTCAACATAACACCGAACCCACCACAAATAAAATTAAATTTGATATTCCCTAACAAAGCAACACCAATCATATTGTCTAAGATATATTAAGTAGTGGAATATTGTTTATACATGTGATTTTATTGTGGCATGTGGAACTGCACCTTGAGTACTTTCTTGTAATGGTGCCCTCTCCTTTCGAGGGAATTCTTAGCTTTTTCCGTCTGCCTGGCATGACCTTTGTCATGGGAGGCGGCACAACTCGACTTCGAACATCTTCAGGAATAACCCACATTCCGTGAGGCTATACCGGGTAGATGCTATCCGAATAAGCATCCAACCAGGTATTCTGAGTGTAATACCAAGAAGCCTTGGAGTATACATTTAGTTTCAAGAAGTGGAAAATTGCAACTACATGCTTGCAAGGTAGCTGCTCAAGCTGAAACTTTCTACAACTACAACTGTTGTTCGTCAAATCTACGAGGCCATCCATATCACCGTCCAAAACATTAAATTGTACATTATTTAGTTTAACAACATTCATCCTTGCAGCATCATCCAACCTATTCCTCAACTTCTTCTCTAAAAAATTGGGGCACAATGTTGTTGTGCAATTCAAAGCTAGTTCACGACGTTCGGTGAACCATTTCACAAGGAGGTTAATAATTTCCCCTATCAAATGAACCATTGGCAGCATTCTTGCAAACCGAAGGACTGAGTTTATTGACTCTGCAATATTTGTTGTCATTACATTGTAGCGGCGTCCATCCATGTGAGCTCTAGACCACTTATGTAACCCTGCTTGTTCAAGATATTGAGCAACATGTTCCTTTTTCTTGATCTTGCGAAAATGACAATCAAATTAAGCAATTGAATAAGATTTCACAGCCTGCTCAAAGTGCATAAGTATTTGATCATGCTTTTCGAACTTGCAAGTGCGTTTCATGTTCCCTTTCATATGATAAAAGCATATGCCATGTTGCGTTGTTGGGAAAACTTTGTTCCACACATTCTCTATGCTAACATTGTGATCAGAATAGATAACAAGATTGGGACACTCACCAATGGCTTCATGTAGTTTAGTGAAAAACCAATGCCATGATGCATCCGTCTCCAAATCCCCGATCCCAAAAGCAAAAGGATATATATTTCAATTACCATCGAATGCATTTGCTACAAACATAACACCCTTGTACTTAGATTTTAATTTAGTGGCATCCACGGCTATCATTGGGCACACGGAAGAACGAAACCCTCTAATACATGCGCCAACTGCCATAAATAAATACACAAAGTGATTGTTCTCATCAGTTTGGATGTGTGTCTTTGTGCCGGGATTCATATGCTTCAATTCATAGCAATAGGCTAGAAGGATATAATAAGCCTCCTCGGCTGATCCTCTAATGGACAATAGAGCTAACTCCCTTGCTTTCCAAGCTTTCGAATAATGGATTGTCAAACCAAAGTTGTGTTTCACATCTCTCATTATGTCACTTGGTGTGTATATTGTCCAAGATTCCTTCAACTTCCTTTTAAATGAAGTGGCTACAAGTGTTACGGTTGCTTGACGATGGTTGTCATTTACGAACCTCAAATCACATTCATGGACAGCTGTACACCTCACAATCATGAAGTTGTATTCTCCAATTCTCGATGCTCGGACCCGCCATGGGCATGGATGTTGACAACAAACCACAAGCAACCTCTTAGTGCAAGAGAATTGCACCTTAAATTCAAAGTGGCCTCTCAATGCCGTCAATCGTAACTCGGTCAACAACGCTCCCTTACTAGAGAAAATTTGCCCAACTTGAATTTTCGGATTCCAATCACTTCGCGAATACCTTGTGTCCAAATATGCTTCTCCATCATTTACACCGGCCACATTGTACTGGTTATGTTCACCCATTTGACTCAAATAAGGTTCAGGAGTGGGTTCAGATTCTCCTCCTAAATGCATTATTGGCAATTGGGCAGATGTGTCCAAGTGGCCCAAAAAAGGAGGAGTAGAGTACACTAACACTTCATTTCTTTCAGTACCATTATCACTACCACATCTCCTCCACCTCGCTAAAATCAATCATGTCCATAAAATCTGTCCTAATATCACCTCCCACATCAATGACATTTGTATTATTCCGAGTTACTTCATTGCTTTCAACAATGGCAACTGAAGAACGACCCATCTAACTACTATCAATTACATCATTTGTCAGTCCTTTATCTTCTGTACTCACGAGTAAGGGAGCTAGTTTTTAAGGTGTTACCTCACAATTGTACTTCATAAAAAATTTGACATCATCATCGTCCTCAATCTTTATGTGCTTTCACTCATTTGAGGCCACCAAAACTGAGAACTTTAAGAAAACATTGTCTTCCCTGCTATTTGTATTACCAATCTGATGCACACGAACCAACAGTTCAACAAATGTGATGGTCTGTGGAACTATTCAACCTTTTGAGTCACCCCCTTCGTATTTGCACATCTTCTTTGAGGTCACCCATTTTCCATTGTAGTAAACTAGAATAACAATTGTCTTCATTTCTAACCATGACAAGACAACATTTCATTAACACAATACAACCACAATAACCATGCAATACAATGGAAATATAATAGCAATATAACAACAATATAACAACAACATAACAGCAATACCACATCAAAATAATAAGAACACAACAGCAATACAACACTAACATAGCAGTGAATAAGGATTCATCACAATCACACTATACAAATCTACTACATCAAATGAAAAATTCTAAGTTTCGAGATTCACATATCCAGAGCAATCTAAATGCAATTGGTAAAAACCCAGATGGATGAGCATGAAGATTCAAAAAACCTAACCGAAAGAAAGTAAAGCCAAAACCAATTTAACAGAAACCCAAGCAATCAAAATAAAACCAATTTCACATAATCCCACAGATATTAAGAAAATAACGATAAACACTACCTATTGATTCTACCAATTGTTGGTTGACCGATTCTATCGATCTGTTAGTTATATTTATAATTTGTTTTCTCTTTTGATCTTTGTTTTTTTATATAGTTTTTGTTGATTCATGTAGTGATTGTTTGTCCTCTTTTTTTATATAATTTTTTTGGGTTGTGTTTGATTTATGGTTTTTGTTGTTCAGGTAATTTCTCTTTTGTTCATTCATGTTGTTTTCATTTTGATTGATTCATATATTGATATATGTGTTTTCTTCTCCAATTTTTCTGTTTTTTCTTCCTTTTTCTTCTTTATTTTTTTAAACTGTGTTTTCTTTGATATTTTGCAGGTGTTCTTTCATTGCTTTGGATAGAGCAGTTTAGTTAGTGTTTTCGGTTCTGTTAATCAAGAGGTGAGTTTTTAGGATGAAATTCCAATTAATTTTTTTAAGTCATCAATTGATAATTGGTTGGTGTTAATTTGTTGTTGTAATGATAGGTTTAGATGTTTACAATATTTGAGCATGTTGGTGAATCCTTTGAGTGTTTTGACAATTGGGCTTTCTCTCTCTCTCTCTCTCTCTCCTCTCTCTCTCTCTCTCTCTCTGTTTTTATTTATTTATTTATTTATTTATATTTTTAACTTTCACATCGTTTAGTTTGTAGAGTTTTTGTACAGGTAAAGAAAGCCTCTGGATTTTGATATGTACGCATTTGTTGTTGTTTTTACTCTAAATTTTATCATTAGTTTTGTTTTCAATTGATGATCCATATACATTCGCTATTGTTTTGTTTACAAAGGTTAGAACTAAAGAATCACTTTATAATATTTCAATTGATCAGCTACTTTTATTGGATTCCTGGGTTTTTTTTTCCTTCTTATTTGACTTTCATATCGTATTAGTACATCCACCACACAGACACATCTTTCATGCTCTATTTTTCGTTTCTTCTAAAAAGTTTGTTATTAAATTTTCTTGAGCATGGTTTTCTTTTGTTTATTGTAAAATAAAACAGAAGAAGAAAAAAAAATAGAAGAGAAACTTTGGTATGTTGAATGATAGAATTGTTAACCTCATAGAGAGCCAACACACAAACCGACATTTGGTGGTGGAAAAGGGAAATTCCAAATGCAATACCTGCGAATCTCGAGACTTTTATTTGTCTTCCCCTTTTAACACACTCTTCATCTTGACATTCAATCTTTTCCTCTGTTTTCTTTAATTTGCTTATTTTGAACCACCAACACAGCAATGAGATTCCCAACTTTTTTCAAAACTGAAAATGGTTAATATAGGAAATGGAAGGAAAGCTGAAACTGTTTCCCCTTCCCCCTTTTTTTTTTTCTTTTCTATTTTTGTGTTTTAAGGAAAACAAATGATTAACGTGTTTGATTTGGTGAGATTTTCTCTGTAGCTCTGGGACATTTTTATTTTTATCTAAATTTTGATTTGTTTGAGTCATAGCGTTTATTGGTGCTACATATTTTATGCTTCTTTTATGATTGAATGTGTGTGAATTTTTGTATGTGTTTGGCTTCTATTTTCTTTTATTTCTAATTTTTGGCTAGCATTTCAGAGCCATTGTTTAGTTGTAGTCTATGATAAATGATGGGAATGGATACCCATTAATATTCCTATGCTTTGTGGGAAAACAGACGAAAAGGAATAAAAAGTAAACACGGGAATCTAAGATTCAAAAACTTTTATGTTTTTATTCTTTGTTTTAGAAACACTTGCTTTCATCCCCAACAAAAACAATCAATTCATCAGCTATTGATGGTTACTCTAAATTGTGTAATTATCTATCATTGTTAATATTAGTTTTATTTATTGTATTTATGTTCATATGTTTTTATACTAATTTTGTGTAGTATATATATATATATATATATATTTGGTGATTTCATATTAGAGATGTTAAAAACTGTCTCAATAGCCATTCGATGTGGTTTGATACCAATATATTAACATGTATAAGATAAGGAGAGAGAGAGAGAGACCAAACTAAGGATGTTGATGACTGCTAGAGAGAGAAAAACAGAGGAGAATAGTATTTGTATGAAGGTATTTTCCATTGAAATTATGAGTTAGATATGTGGTACGATTGATTTTTCATTGAATTGATGAACTAAGTATATGTTATATTAAAGATTTGACTATGGTTATGGACTAGACATGTTCAAGATTTAGTACTTTTAAAATCAAATTTATGAACTTCGCATCTATCATACTTTTTTTTGTTAACCAAAATTTTGTAATGTGCATTGTCGGATGACACTGATACTTAACAAGATAAGAAAAGTTAATTTAGGTTGTTTAGGATGACTCTACATATCTATAGTTCTTTCTTTATATTTCATGTGGCCTTAGGCTGTAGGTGGTAATGCTTCCAATTTAAGCTAGGTAACTTAATGCAGTATTATGCCCCCCAGATTCTTAGATGATTTGATGGGCAACACGATTTATTCAGGAGACATGCCTAAAAGATAGGGTCGAGGGAGGGTTTCGCGATTCAGAAGAGAGAGAGAGAGAGAGAGAGAGAGAGAGAGACAGAGAGAGAGAGACAGAGAATAAGGAGCTGAGAGAGAACCAAAATATCAGAAAAAGTGATATCTGTGCAATAGGTGGACAATAAATATATATTTATAGGTGATAGTTGCAAAAAAATTGGGGAGAGGTGCTATTTTCAGTTAAAATTATAAAAAAGGTGGCATTTAGAGCTATTTCCCTTAATTTTTTGTCCATATAGTTTATCAGTTTTACAGCTTTGATTACAGTAGTTTTAATTTTGTCAATTTTATCATTGTAATTTTCAATTTTATTAAGTACACATTTCAATTTCTATTAAAATTCTTCCCAATGCCATTAAGTTTTTATGTTTATTTAAATACATTTTTTGTCATTGGGTTTTGCACGAAAATTCACTTTCGTCACTCAGCAAAAAGTTAGCCAAATTAGTCTTTGTATGTTTCCCAAATTTTACAATTTATAGACATTCCGTTATCTTCTGTTAAGTGCAGTTTTTATTTTTATTTTTTTATAAAGCACGTTCAATCTTCTTCCTCTAACTCAATGAGTTAGCGTATGTGTTATTAGGGTTTAATAAATTTAGAGAAATCTTGGGTTGAAATCGGAATTGTGAGGTATAAGGTCATGATATGGATGCTATATATTGAAGCTTGAATTGGATCTATATTGAAGCCTGAATTGATTGAGTGAGAACCGTTATATATTATGACTTTGAATGACAAGGAGACGTAATCAAGGTGATAGAGCGCCAAAATATATTGGTAAGTTGTTGATTTTATTTTAATTTGGTTTGGCTTTTTTATTTTTCTAATACCTCACAGTGTTGATTTCAACCCAAGATTTCCCTTAATTTGTTAAACCCTAATAGCACAATATAACCTAACTCATTGAGTTAGAGAAAGAAGACTAAAGGTGCTTCCTAAAAAAAATATTAAAAAAATTGCACTTAATTAAAGATTACAGAATGTGTATAAATTGTAAACTTAGGAAAACATAGTGACCAACATGGCTATATTTTTTTGTTAATGACCAAATTGAATTTTCATGTAAAACCCAGTGACTGAAAAAATATTTAACCATTTTTATTTTTATCAAAGATAAGCTTAAACAATACAATTAAAGACATCAACATGACGTCTAAAACACCAATCCCAAAAGGGCAATAGACTAATATGCTAAAAATAAAACTAAAACTAACAAAAACCGCACTAAAACTACTAGTCCTCATTACCAAAATTAAGCATAATCCCAAACAAAGCCTACAAACCCACATAATCCCAAACGAGTTCCCTTCTGGCACCTGATTTGGCCAACGTACTCTCTTGTTTCTTTTTTCAGGATTGATTGAGAGGTTCCAAAGCATGAGAAATGTCATCTTCTTACTGATTTGTTAGGAACTTGATGGTACGAAGGTGAGTTTTTCGTTACTTTCATCTTGACTTGCAATGTGAAGGCTTATGGAAGATTTGAATTGCTTGACTAGAGAGACTTTGGACGAGACAGAGAACAAGCTAGTTGTTGAGGCTGCTTTGAGTTTTCTTTCAGAGATGTAATGAGTTTGTTGAATTGTTGCAAGGATAAATTGAGCTTTGGGGGTTAGGGAGCATATACACTGGCATGATGTTTGAAATAGGACAGTGGCTAAGAAGGTTTGAAATAAGGCAAGTGCACAGCTCTTGGAACTGAGGTATAACTTGGTTTAGCATGAGAAACTTTGAAGTGCCTATGCTTGACTCCTTTTATTTATTTATTTATTTATTTTTATAGATTTGCTTGGCACGAAGCCCCCAAGTATTTTGGAGTTTGCATGTGTAGTTCGCTCAATGGCCTGGACGATGGATTTGCCTAAGCCCCCAACCCTCGTACAAGATCTGGTTTTGCTTGAGAATGGAGATCTTAGACATAAGCAAAAGGCACATGTCAGCAACCCTTATTATGCTTCTTATGCAAAGTAGATAGCCAACAAAAGAAAAAACAAGAAAGAGGAAATGTTCTTATCTCTTTATTTTCTCTGGTTTATTGCTTGTGGTCTTTTTCGTTGGAAGTATTGGTGAAGATAGCGGCCTAATCCCTAGCAGAATCGCCAATTTATGTAGGGGCTTTTTCGTTCTAGGAGCTACTGATGGGCTAGGGCTGCTGTAAAGAGCCAAATGTATGAAATTGCCCCTTAAGTTTGAGTTCAAGGATCATACCCCAAGAGTGTTTCGAAAGGGAAGCTGAGCCTTAGGAAACACCTTGGTCTTCTTCACCAATGAAACCAACAGTCTCTTACAGATAAATTCTTAGCTTGTGGCATGGGAGCTGAGCATTCATGAGTTTAGCATGAGAGAGAGAAAGAGCTGCGATTTCCTATGAGAAACAGAGGTTTTAAGGCAAGATTCTAAAAGGATTCATTGAAGAAAGAGAGGGATGGGGGAATAACAATGGGTGTGTTGAGTAGTTTCCAACAGCTTGACGAAAGCTCTAGAATGATTTACCAGAGGAGAAAATGGGAGAAGATAAAGGAATGAGGCTCGAAATTGTAGAGGTTTAAGGGATGAGAGATGAAGCTTTCTCTCTGGATGTGTGTTGCTTGCCTTTTCTTGAGTTGTTTTGGTGGGTAGAAGGTGCCTCCCTTTTATGGGCATTAGAAGCTCCTTCTTCCCAAGAAAACCATAGTTGGTTCTCTCCAATTTTTCCAAGTCTCCCCTTTCATTTCTCTTCTCTCCCTTTGACTCATCCCATTTTGTGAAATCTTCCTCTGTCCAAACACACAAAGACAAGATTTTTGGGAGCTCTAAGGCTTTCCCGCAGCTGCTTCAGTATTGAACTCCCATTTTTTCTACCTCTTCAACTTCTTTCCTTCCCTCTTTCGTGGCAAAAGTTGGTGGGAGAAAGAAATGGGTAAGGGCTCTGGTTTGAAGGGTGTTTTGCTCAAGTATCCTTTGGTTTTTTGATGGCTTGTGTTGGGATTTATCTTTGGTCATGTGCTGGAGATTCCCAGTAGCCTGCAGACGTGAGTGGCTTTTGGCTTTTGTCATTGTTTTGTCTCCAGCCATGTGCTGGAGACTTTCAGATATTTTCTTGGTCATTTGGGGCTTCCTAGGGTGATGGGTTAGTTCACTAAGGGAATGGGCCAGCTTCCTAAAGTGGTGGACTATTGGGTTTTCTCTCATGCTTACCCATATGTTTGGGCTCAATGAATGGGCTTGAGTTTTGGTGCTCCCAAGTAGCCCAAAACTTCCACTCCTTGGACCATCAATGAGCCTCGTGAATACTCGTAACCATCCATACCACAACCAGCTCAGCAAGCCCCATACATTTGCATGGCTTGGCCCCACTTAAGCTTGTAGCGTGGCGTGTTGCTTATTTGCTTGGTGTTGTACGTGTGCAAGCGCATATGACGAACTCGTGCATACCCAAGTAGGGTTTCTTCCTAAGTTAGGTGTCGTACTGGGCTAGAAATATATTTGGGCCCAGCCTAGGGTTTTTTGGGCCTCAACACCGTTAGCTTTTCCACAATTCCATCCAAATGCCTGTAAAAAATACAATGTGAATGTGAGTCGTCTGTTGAGGGTAACCACCCCTTTTATTGGAACGAAACCACCCCTTTTTGAATGAAACTACCTCTTCGTATGAAATCAGACTTGGAAATTAACAGAAACCACCCCTTTTTCACAGAACCCACCCTTGATGACAGAACCCAACCCCATTTACAGGCGTTCTAACCTTCTCATGTCGCTTATGTTCATCAATTTGCAGTTGAAGATAGGATGCATAGAAACAGACGTGCAGGTTCTACCAAATCAAGTTCGACCACTTTTATTATTGAGGATGATATGGTGTGTATCTGCCGGTGTGGATTTGAGGCTGAAACGATTGTTTGCTGGTTTGATGAAAATGCAGGGAGGAGGTTATATGTGTGTTGTAGAGAGAAGTATGGTGATGGCTGTGGTTGGAAGGCTTGGAAGGACCCAAAAATGTCTGAGCATGCCAAACATGTCATATGTCGATTGTTGAGACGAATCAACTCATTGGAAGAGAAAATAGCTAACGACAAGAAGATTGCGCAAGAGTTAAGAGATAGAGAGAAAAAATTTTGAAGTGGGCTGCTGAGTTGTTTGGTTGTAATTTTGTTGTTGTTTACTATATTAGTTAGCTTTTTGTTTGGTTAAATGTAGTGGCCTTTTTGTGCCTTCTTTTGGCTTAACGAATGTAGTGGCCTTTTGATTTGGTTCAATGTAGATTTGGCTTAATGAATTTGGTTGAATGTAAGCCTTCTTTGTTTTTTGGGTGACATAATACTTACCCTTTGGCACACGCCAAAGCAAAATACCCAGAAACTGCAAACAGAGTAGTACAACAAAAGCAAGACATAAAGCCTACACTAATCCAAAAACCAGTATCAAGCAAAAGATAAATATAGACCCAAAATTACAACATAAACATTATGTAGGCATTCTTGGTGTAGATTAATATGTGAAACACTTCAAAATTCAACATCCAAATTCAACATATTAACATCTCCAACATTTGAAATCCATCCAAAATAGCCATCAGTTGAAAAATATACATTCCAACATTTGAAATATATCCAAAATCCATCCAAAATAGCCATCAGTTCAAAAATACACATTCCAACATCTACTACAAATTATACATTCCAGCATTTGAAATACATCCAAAATCCATCCATAATAGCCATTTGATCAAAATGCACATTCCAACATCTACTAGCCATCTCTTCAAAATATACATTCCAACATCTACTGGCCTATCTGTTTAAAATATACATTCCAAAATCCATCCAAAAATAGCCATTTGTTCAAAATACCCATGCAATCCATCATCTACTTTACCTTCATGGCCTTGCACTTTTTGCAGGAGATTTAAACCTTTTCCATTGTGGCTCGGAAATGTTTTGAGTGGTAACAACAGACTGTGGTTGTGAATCAAAATTGCTTGGAGCTGCTTGTGAAGCTAAATTGCAAGGAGCTGGTTGTGAAGCAACATTGGTTTGACTTGCTTGGCTAGCAACATTAGTTGGAGCTGTTTGTCTTGCAGTGGCTGCAGTCCTTGTCAAAGCTCCTCTAATTGTCTACAAATGAAATTAATCACAATTAAAATAATTCAAATGAGTCATCCAATTAAAACATTCAATCATAATTTCACATCCTTTACCTATAACTTTGTTTGTCTACATTGGAGTTCCTCTTCAGATTGGTGGATTGAGTTGGTTCCTCTTCCCATGCTTTTTCCTCTTCCTTTCCCTCTTCCTCTCCCTATGCCTCTTCCCATATTGCCATATACCCTTCCACACTTAGTAGCATTATGGCATTCTCCTCCAAAAACTGAGCAATAGATTACAATTCTATATCTCCTAAGCTTAGTGGCACCCTTTGGGATCTCATCAATTGGTCTAGTCCTTGCCTTCTTTGGCCTACCACTTTTTTTGTGATATAGTGGGGGTTTAATTGGCCTATGACCTGATTTCCTCCATAATTGTTGGCTTGGCATTGGTGAAATGTAATTGCTATAAGTCTTGTCATAAGCTTCTCTCTTATACACCTCATTGACATAACTCATTGGGCTTCTCTGTTGTCTTGATATTGCAGCCATGGCATGGCAACATGGGATGCCACATAGATCACATTTTCTACAAGAGCAAGAGTGAGTATTTAGATCAATTGCATATTGCCTACCAAGCATACGGGTGACTTGAAACCTATTTTCACCTGCATTCTGTGCAATACATGAGCCACTCTCTTTCAAATTCTTTTCAATAATCTGAAAGGTCCTTGACCCAATTATTTGAGTCCATTTCACCTTCTTTTGTCTTGCAACTCTCAACATCAAATATGTTTATCTCTTGCCTCCAAAATTGCTGAATTGAAACATTCATATAAATTGTTCAACAGTATATCACACTTGGTCCCAGGAGTAAAGTGTGACCCACTCCAATGAATTGCCAGCCTATCCTTAAGCCATGCATGAGCTGGGGTAGATATTTCCATAATATTGTCAATCTCAGCTTCCCACAAAGGAAGTGTTGTACTTCTAGCAGCAGCCCATAGCCTTTGTTTAAGTGCCAAACTACCATGCCCAGCAACTTTGAAATTATTGTGTAGATGCCTTACACAATGCCTATGTTCAACATCTGGCTTGAAAGCCTCAATTGCTTGCCCCAGTTCTTTTTGTTTGTCAGTGATAAAAACCCATCCATTTCCAGTACCTCTTACCCCAACATCATTGAAGAATATATCTAAAATCCATGTCCAAGTGTCTTTTCTTTCTGTCTCCCCAACAACAAAAGCTATTGGGAACATGCCATTGTTGGTATAAATCCCAACATCACTTTAAAGTTGTCCTGGATGTTGTCCTTTGATGAAAGCCCCATCAAAACCAACCATGGTTCTGCATCCTTTAATAAACCACTTCTTCAGTTGAGCAAAACATATATAAAGCCCCTAAAAAACTAGATCATCTCCTCGCAATGATGTCTTCACTAAAACTGTGCTCCTTGGGTTTTTCCTCTTAAGCTCCTCATAATAATCCCAGAGCTTTGCATATTGTTCTTCAATGCTTCCGTGAATTCTCTCATTTGCCAAATTCTTTGCCTTGTAGCATTGGTCCATAGTAACATCTATACCGTAATGTTTTCTCACCAATGACATGAAGTCAGCAACTGACATGTTAGGATTGGTTCTGAGATCCTTATCAAACCTTTTAGCCAACCATTGTGAAGTGGCAAACCTAGTTCTTTAAGATCTGCAGTAGATATGAATTGGATGGTATGTCTTCACTCTAACAGTGGGTCATTTCCCAACATGTGCATCATACAATAACCAAGGACAATCTTCAAGTTCATCTTCACCCTATTCACCCTATTCACCCTTACCATGCCTCTTACACTAATCATTCTTACTATGCCTCTTTGCCTTATCACCCTTAGCATGCCTCTTACTTTTTCACCCTTAGTATACCTCTTTGCCTTATCACCCTCATTATTACCATCACATACTAGCCTCACCCTATTAGGCTCATTCTTCACAAACCTTAGTATTCTAGCACACCTGCATGCATAGTACTTTATGGCATATCTACATTCCTGCATATTAGAAAACTTCAAACCCAAGTGGAATTTTGGATCTAAAAGGTCTTACTATTTATTGTACTGCATGAATTTTGACTGCCTCAAACCTCTCTTCTTGCCATCTTCATCTTCAGTATCTTCATGCAAACTTTCTAAGTCTGATATATGTTGTTTGTGAGCTGATTACAAGTGGGGAGTAAACGTTGAGATCTATCGTGGCCACAGTAATCGTTGTTGCGCCATTGAAGCCAGTCAACGACTTGGCTGATTTATTGATCTTTGTCTTGAAGCCTATCTGTTGGATGTCTGCCAATTGTAGGATGTTGACTGCACTGCCCTCGTCTGCATGGATTCGGTCGACCATGGCCTGAGAAATTTGAATGCTGATGACAAGGGCATCGTTGTGTGGTAGATCAAGGCCAATTAGATATTTCTTTTAGAAGCCGATCATAGGATTGTCTTTTTCCAGTGGGAGACTAATGGAGACCTGGGAGATCACAGTGACCTATTTGATCTTTCTCTTCTTTTCTTTGTTGGTCAGTCTGGACTCCTCGGAGTCGGCTAGGATTGTGCTAATCCTTATGATCTTCTGGGGTGGCTCCTTAGCAGTATCGCGATCTTCAATCTGCTGGATGGCCTGCTTCACGATAAACTCCGTGTAGTGACCTTTTCTAACGAGTTCTTCGACGTGCGCTTTACAAGCAAAGCAATTATTCATATTGTGCCCTTGCGTTGCACGGAACACATAATATTTTCTGGTATTCCTCTTATCCGGATCTCTTTTCAAGGGTGACAGTCTTTTTACCCAAGGTTTGTCCTTCACTTGGGCTAAAATTTGATGTATGGGGTTGAGAACTTGGTGTAGTTCTCCTTTGTCATAGCATCTCCTTGTGGGCGCTACCTGTGTTTGTCTCTGTCCCTGCTGCCCAGCCTGTCGCTTCTTTTGTCTGCTCGCTTGGTCGGCTGATCTTCCTGCTTGGTGGCCTTCTTCGCGGCGATGCGATCGTCATCCCAGAGCACGTAGCGTTCTGCCATCATGAAGTCCTCTGCCAGAGTCTGGCTAGGAGTGATAGTCAGCTCGCAGTATAAGTCGTGTTCAGCTAGAAGACCTTTCTTAAATGCAGAGGATGCGATTCGGTCATCGCACTCTACAATGTTGGCCTTTTCTGCTTTGGTCAGGGTTCTTCTTGATCGTCCGGTAAGAAGTGTAATCTTTGATGAAGATATAAGCAAGCTCCTTGAAGCTACCAATCGACCCAGATGGCAGTGTATGGAACCAGTCCTGAGTTGCTCCTCGCAAAGTCATTGCAAACACCTTGCACATTAGCTCGTCTTCAGTTTTGTAAGGGATCATATGGCTCTTGAAATGCTTTAGATGGATTTCAGGATCTGAATCCCCTTTGAAACATGTGAAAGAGGGCGTTAAGAATCGTTTCGGGAGAGCAGCCTGCTCGATTTCTACTATGAAAGGTGAGGAGTTTGCTTGGTCTACCTCAATGCATAATGCATCTTCGAAATTTCCACCAATCTTTAAGTCTTGAAGTCGGTTATTCACAAGCTTCTCAATGTCTTCCGCACACATGGCTGGTTGGTCACGTTGGTGACCTTCGTGATTTGGGTGACGCTGATTGACTTCTTCGTTGGTTCGCATGGGTCGACCTTCTTGGTAGATTGCGCTTGGGAGAGATTTTATGTGGCTTGGTGATGAGGATTGGTTCTTCCAAAGCGAGCAGCGGAGAGCCTTTCTTCACGGTCCTCATTGTGAGGGTTATCAGGTTGACCTCCCTAGGGGCCGATCTTTTCGAGAATATTTCTCTGTGAGCTGGTAGCAGAGCTTCTTTTCTCATGATCCTTACTGCGATGGTTGTCAGGTTGACCTCTCTGGGAGCCTTGCCTTTCATGAACATTTTCGTGTAGGCCCAGGTGGGAGCAGATGTCAAGTTATGGGCCCAACCCTTCATGCATGTTGGTCCTTAAACTCAATCTGGATGGGAGGCTTTGTTTGCTCTGAGTGTGACTCACAGATGCTTGCGACATGTCGGCAAGCCGATTGCGTTGTTGTCCCTCTCCTTGTCTGCTTACTCCTGCTCGACCTACTTGGTACCCATCAAATTGCCTATCGGCATGTTCGTCCATCCTTCTCGCTTCGCCCTATTGTCCAAGGCCAAGGTTTTGAGCCAAGTTTACTTGGTTGAGGAACTGCCTCATCAAATTGTTTTGGTCATCCATTCTCTGAGTTAGATGGTCAACTCTCAGATTAAGGTATACTTGACTTCGTGGATCGAGAGGAGAGAAGTGTGTGGAGCCCAATTGCACACGAGCTAGGGTTTCATTGGAGGTGTACGTGGGAGCATGCGTCGAGCGTGGAGGCAATGGAGGGAATGATTGAAGTTGCTCTAAGATTGGGCCAAAGTTGGCAGTGGTAGTGAGCCCACCCTGATGGGAGGTTCCACCATAAAGGTTGCTAGATCTAGCCACGGGGCCTTGAGATGGTACAATGACGGTAGAGGCTGGTGCGGTGGCCCCAACTACTGGTCCAGCAGGTGGCCCAGTGGTTCTAGCCATACGGGATGGCTGCTGTGGTGCGGCAGCAAGGGTTTGCTGCGAGTTCATGGCGGTGATAGGTGGTGGTGCCACCATGTCGATTGCGGGATTGTGGGAGGAATAGCTTTGGGCCATCGTGGATTGAGCCATCACGGCAGTCTTGTTCCTAGTTCGCTTGCTTCCAACCATGGTTGTTTGGAAGGCTTCGGTGGATTGGAAAATAGGAGGAACAGATTCCTTGAGCACACGTTGAGTATAACTTGTGCTCTCAATGAAAGCACCAAATGTTTGTGCAAATAATCTCACTGGAGAATATTCGCTTCTAGATCCTTCAACCTTTGATCTTCCTTCTCTCTCTTCCTCGATTCCTGTAAAACAGACCGGAGAAAATAGACCACACCCGGGGGTGTTGGCCAAAGGCCCTTCGATGCCTAAGTGAGTTTGAGTGTTTGTAGGAAAACAATAGCTAACAAAAGGGTACAGAGAAGATGTATATATGGTGTGAATCGGGCGGCCGGAGCCGTGTGTGTTGGTCGGAGCTGTGTGGAGAGGAAGAGAGCTTTGGTATTTTTCTCAAGTATTAGGAGTAGGTTTTTTGAAGTACCTTCAATGATGAATGAAGTCATCTATTTATAGGAGCCTCGGGGCTAGGGTTTCGTAAAGAATAAACTCTTATTAGAAGGAGTTTATTCTTTACCCAAATTCGTAGGGATTGAGTCGGACTTGATTATATCTCTTTATTGGGATAATATCTGAATTAATGATATTATGTTCTCTTTATTAGGATAATATCTGAACTAATTATATTATATTATTAAATAAAGATAATATCCTATTAATTAAAATATTATTCCTATTAATTAATTGGCCAAATAAATTGGTTCAATTAATTAATTTTAGAGATAATCTTCTTTTCCATGTGGTGTGCTGTGACTGGAGACGAAAATATTTGTTCCCACAAATGCCCCCCCAGCTTCTGCATGGTTCTTGTGTGGCATGTTGGAAATGAAATTATTTTTCGGGCTCTCCAACTGTGTATGGGTTTTCTTCTGTAAGTTGGACTCCTTTTGCAAATCGGATTCCCAATTGGTGTAAGCTTCTGACTGTTCTTAGAGTTGGATTCCCAGTAGGAATGAGCTTGCGATTCCTTCTTGACCCTAGTTGTCCAACTTGTATAAATACAGGGCTTCAAGGTGAGCTTGCTATTCCTTCTTCACTTTTGGCAGCAAGGTGGTGGTCCAGCATGAGTTGCAAATTTGTGGGCAGAGGCTGGAGGCGCTATCTGAAGATGGAAGGGAGCTGACTAGGCCATTATGCGCCAAAGGCCTAGAGTTGGTCGGAGTTGGGCTTGAAGGGAGAGCATGGAGGAGTTGAGGCATTTAGCACTGGGCCTTGTGAGCAATACAAGTTTGCGCTGGGCAGGCAGGGTACACGCGCTGGGCTGGACCATGAGGCATGCGCTGACGCGAAGCAAAGAGGGCCACGTTCTGCGTGAATGGGCTCGAGTTGGCTGGGCTTTTCCTGTAGTTTTTTTTTAATAATTTTTTTTTCTAACTTGTAGAATTTTCTTCTCCTTTTGCAATTGTCCATTGACAATGTCTTCTGAAGGTGGTAGCAAGTCACCAAGCTCCCAAGTATACAAGAAGAGGTTTGTGGCCAATCTACACCGCGTTACGACTGAAGCTCAGTTCCAGAGGTGGCAGGCCACTTATGCTTCTGCAATTCCTGATGATGTGCATATCAAGCTGGCGAAGCCTTTGACTGACCATGTGCCTTGTGTGGATGCAAATGACCCAAATGCCAAAATTATCACATTCTGTCCCTTTTATTTCTCCTTGGGCTTCAAATTCCTGCTGTCAAAGCTTTTCAAGGAGATGTTTTGTACCATGGGGTGTGCTCCGAGTCAGTGTACTCCGAACGTTTACTGGGCGATCATGTGTTTTGAAAATCTAAGCCGTTTCTTCATGTTGGAGCTGACGGTGCGAGAGTTCTTCTATTTTTTCGAAGTGAGGCACTTCGAGGAGTACGCCCAAGTTTGCATCTGCAATGCCAAGCTGTTTGACAGTCTTAGTTAAGGAGATCACGTGTGGCACAACGATGGGAGGGTGATGGTCCACTTGTTCCCATCACCTATTGCAATGATATGTCTTTCTACGGTTTTTGATATGCTCTCTTTTTATTTGAATTTCTTGAAGTGTTGCTGACTAACTTCTGTCTTCTGCTTGTAGTGAGTGACATCAACAAGAAATTGAAGCTTGGACCGGACATGTCTTCTGCTTGTAAGAGAGTTCATCTACCTGGGTGAAAGGTTCTTCTGCAATGTCAGCAGTTGATCCAAAGGTGGACAAGTCCAGCCCAGTCCAGCCCTGCAGGGGATGCAGGAATGTGTCTAATCTGCTCAAGATGCACTTTCTATCAAGTTCATCTGCTTGTGCCGAGCTGGTTGATCAAATCCGTTAGGGTGGCGATCTTGGTACTTTTTCAAGTCTTTCCTTGGAAAAACAAAGGGAAGCAACATTTCATCTGATTAAAAATGAGTAGTTTTTGCTGCTAAGACCATTTGGAACTCATTTACTGTTGCCCCCTCTTCTGCTCAGCTCAGTGAATTGGAGAAGAAGAATGCGGAGCTAGTTAGCAAGCTTTCTGCCAAGCAGACCCGTTATGAGAAGAAGACGTCTAATTTGAGGGAGATGATATCTGTGCTGAAAAGTTCCCTTGCTGATGTTTGTGCCTAATAAATCACGGACATAAACTGATTGAGGGGATTTCCTTTCGGCCTTGGCACCTACCGTTTCGTCAAGCATTTCGCCTTCCTGAGAACAAAATAAAAACTGCAAAGGCCGAATCCTCTTGGCCTCGCAACTGCAGTGTTGAAGGCCGAAGCCGAAGGCCGTAAAAGACACGGCTGAAGAAGATGTGGTTAAATCGCCATGTGGCCTCAGGGTCCTACGCCCAATTTAATTAAGTAATGCCTCTGACTTTCGTAGCAAACCCACTAGTCGCAAGAAGCATTTAATGCACAAGGGAAGTGACTGAAGTCAGGAGTTGGTGATGGAAATCAGGGTGGTTAGGCGCAGACATTCTCACAAGTAATCTTACGACTTGAGGTCAGATCACCAACCACTAGACTAGGGCATTAAATGCGTTCCCACGGCAAAGGGGGCAGAACCCACGATCAAGGCGGTGGCCGAGATTTACCGAGATTTATGGGGGTTACACCACCATGCTTCTCAACCCCAAACCACCATGCTTCACGATCCTAAATGCCGATTTGACTACCCACTTGCCTCGGTCAGGCTCCACTACGCAGGTCTTGTCAGCCTCGATTGTCCCTCCAGGACTTCTCCTATAAATACGAAGCTCAGGACTACATTCAAAGGGTTCAAATACCTTTACTTGCTTTCCTAGGACTAGTGGTAGATTGTAAGGAAAATCCATTCATCAATATATCATACAACCCTTGATTTTCAAGGCGCCGGAGAACCATCTCTGTTATCGTCTCACTCACCCCATATATCATACGACCGTCGCTCTCTGAGCAACGCGCCGGAGCACCGCCTAAAACCCGCCACCACTAAAAGGCCTTGTAGCTCAGGCCGTGAACCTGACGGTCGAGATCAGTTCCTCTCTCGGCCACAATCGTTTGATTAGGAGTCAAATGCAAAATAGGCGCAACATTTAAACCATCTTCTATCCGAACCTTATCATCATCTCGACGCACGGTAGACCGTGCTGGCACGCCCACGCATAACCGCACCGCATCCAAAAGAAGGATGTCACGTGTTGATGCACATCCCCTCGGCCCGGAGCACCAGGCTGTGAGATTCGCAACAGCCAACACTTTTGGCACGCCCGGTGGGACTCTTGTCAAAAACTCATGGTGAAAACTAGGGCACAGGCAAAACTCAAAAACAAAACAGTCCAAATGACTTCTGAGGCTCCTGAGTCCACCTCACCAATCACTGTCACCGAGACCGAACACGCGGTCAGAATCTTGGCTAGCGGTCCAATAACGACGGATCGCACGGCCGAGTCTATGGGAGAGAAAGCAGTAATGGAGGATCTGATGGCGAAGTAGGCCTACAGGATAGAGACATCCTTTATGGCCGCAATGGATAGATTCTCCTCAGAGCTACGGACACTCTTTCAGGAGAGGATTCCGGTGACATCGTCCGCAACGCCTCTCAGAGCCGGACAGAGAAGCCAAGAGCGCCAGAGGTTTGAGCCCTACGGCGAAAGCAGTAGCCTCGGCGACTTTGGCCGCACCCAAGCGTCAGGCTACGGCCAGCATTCTCAGCCGCCGACAAATAGCTGGGGGCAATCCCAGCCAACATGGGTAAATCCCAGACCGACTTGCTCGGCAGAGACGGCGTACGGCTCACTCCATGCTTTGGCGGTGTCACTGGGGCAAAGCAGCGCCACACAGTCCGCGGTCCAGCAGCGTGGCCCAGTTCACACTATGGCCATCCAGACCCATCCCGGCCCAAGCAACTCGACCGTTGCTTCGTCACAGCAATACGATCAGAGTAATTCGACCGTTTCACCATTACATACGTCGTTATTGCCGTCAGGCTCCCATCTTCAGTACGGTTCGGCCGTTCCAACAACAACGCATACGCACCCTGGTCAAACCTACGGCGCATATCTGGTATCGCCCAGCTCGGTCGCAACGGCCCAAACCCCCCGTTCAAGTGGCCCAGCAGGTAAGGCCATAGAACGAGGGGCAACAAGTTCCACGGCCAGTCGCGGCCCAACAAGAAGCGCCCCATCAGGGGCTCCGATTCGAAGACGTCCGGTGAATGATCGAGGACGGCCTGGCTCAGAGGCGCCTGGAAGCGCCAAGGTATACCAAACCATACCCGCCAGAAATTGACTGAACCCTTCCTCCCCGGAACTATCGGTTGCCAGAATTCATTCTATTCTCTGGGGACGGGCAGACTTCCTCCATCGAACACATAGGCCGCTTCACGGCCTAGTGCGGAGAGGTCGATTCGGAAGCCCAGAAGCTCCGTTTATTCGTTCACTCTCTAACCGGCGCGGCGTTCTCGTGGTTCATAAACCTTCCGCCGAATTCGGTGAGGGATTGGTTTAACATGGAAAGGATATTCCACGAACATTTCTATCAGACCAACTGGGAAATAGCGGTCGCCGCGCTGGCAAGGATGAGCCAGGCGTCAGATGAATCACCTCGCGACTACCTGCAGTGGTTCAAAACGTGCAGGAATTTGTCAAGATGGCCGAAGAAGGATTGGAATTCGAATACCGGAAGAAATTACAGGGAATTGAATTCTGGGACATGCACGACTTGATCAACAAGGTGGACCGATACGCATCCTTGTTGAAAGAAGAGGTGCAGAAGAGGACGGCTTCAAAAGGGACTTACTATCGGAATCCCGTTGTCAGCTATGCCGAAGCAGACAGCCCCACAGAGGCCGAGAGCGACGAAGTTGAGATGAGCTCAGCCGAGGTCAGCATAGACAAGCCATTCGTCTGCAAAGGACTTGTCAAGGCCGACAATAGTCGCACAAAGATTCCCGACGCCAAGTTCGCAACTCGAGAAATGAAGGCTTACACTTTTGATTTGACCAGGGCCGAAGCTATCTTTGACCTACTGTTAACCGAGAAAAAGGTCAAATTGTCCTTCGGCCATAAAATTCTGAAACCCGAAGTGCTCAAAGGAAAGACGTTCTGCAAATGGCACAGTTCTTGGTTTCACAACACCAATAACTTCGTTGTTCTACGAGACGTCATCCAGAAGTTAATAGACGAAAAAAAGCTCCAATTCCCGGAAAAGGCGGCCATGCAAGTCGACTCTAAGCCATTCCCTCCGCCTGTCATCAACATGGTCAACGCTCAGCTCTGGGCCGAATATAGGGAAGTTCATCGGTCTGCAGAAGGAAAGGAGCCGTTGGTACCGTGCACGGCCTGGGGGGCAGCACCGAACCGCTGACAAAAACCCAGCTGAGAAGGATGCAGAGGCAAGTTCAGTAGGCCAGGATACAGACGGCCCAGGTGAAGGGGTTAAAACGCCAAAAGAAGATGGCGACTGCAGACGAACCACCATCCACGCCAATCGTTCCCCCTGCAGCGAAGGTTGCCAGCATCAAGCCTCCAAGGACGTGGCGCCCTAGGCAAGACAGTTATCCCCGCGGAATGACGGCCGTTTCGTTCGAGCCAAAGGCCGCGGCCCCGGAGCAAACGGATGAAGGCATCATCGATGTCTACCACGGAAGGGACCCCCTTTTTCGGCCAACGGTTTGTCTTTTCTCATGGAATTCCACAAGGACCACTCGGCCATCGACCTATACGGCATGACCCCTGAAAACCGTGAAATCGTGGAATTGGCTCTCAGAAACGCCAAGGCAGAAAGGCTCATCATTACCAACGAATCTGACTCGGCCATTAAGGCCGTATACCAGGCAAACCGAGAGGCCAGGGATAGAGGGAAAATTGGAGGCCAAGGCCCCTTTTAGCAGAAGCGATTTGGAATACCTCCGCCGATATTTTACTGTGATTCTGGCCGACACCATCTTCGATCTGACGACCGAGGAAAGGGCCTGGGTAAGCCGGCTGGACGATTACTTAGCGGCCAGGGATGCGTTAGCTAAGGCTAGGCAAGCCCTCGAGGAGGAAGTCGAGACCTCGGACCCCCCCTACGACCAAAGCGACCACAGACGATACCCCTGGGACTGCAAGGCTTATGGCCAAGGGCCCTGGCGACCTTTTCTTTGGTCACGTGGCCGGGGATGACTCCTCGTTGGGAATCTCCGATGAGTTCAACGAGGGGATCCTCGGGATGATTGAGGAAAAAACCCTTGCCAGTGGCGGTCGCGAGGTCAACAAAGAGGCTGGTAGGGGAAACTAGCAGAAGCCAAAGGAGGTTAACATGAACATGGTTTTGGTGCTACCATCTGAGTTTTCAACCCCAAATGGCCAGACCAACGGCCTGGATAATGACGTGGCCAAGGAACAGCTTGATCAAAGGCCAAAGACAAAGGAAGAATTGTTGGTCGTGGCTTTTAACGAGGTAAAACCTAGAGATGAGCCAAACAAATACCGACACTTCAAGCCGTTACACATCTCAGCTCATGTAGAGGGTGTGCCCGTGTCCAAGGTCTTCGTTGACTGTGGGGCAACGGTCAACATCCTTCCCTATTCCCTGATGAAGAAACCGGATAAGTCAAAGGAGGACCTCATCCCCAGCGATGTGGTCATGAGCAGCTTTGTCGGCGATAAATCTAAGACTATCGGGGTGTTGCCGTTAAAAATCACCGTGGCCGACTAGACGAGAGTCGCGGCCTTCTACGTGGTCGAATCCAGCATGGACTACAATATATTGCTCGGTCGTGACTGGATCCATTAGTCCGGATGCATACCGTCCTCCCTCTTCCAACTGTTGTTCTTCTGGGACGGCCAGAGGGAGTCCATACACCCGGTCGACAAAAAACCCTTTGAAACCAACGCCGTGCAAGCACGAATTTACGACGACGACGTTGGATGGGTTGTCCTCACCGGCCACGATGCAAGCGGCCGGCCAACCAGGACAACGGCCCAGAAAGTGCTGGAGTTAGGCGCTGAGAATGTTCGACAGGATTCAACGCGCAAAGTATTGGTCAACCTCACTGGCCTGTAGATGACAGACAAAGCCACTAGAGAGGAGGGAGCGGCGGCTGTGACCGACTTGTTGGAAAGACTGCTGGAACATTGGGTAGAGGAATCCTTATAGCCAAACTCACCGATCAACCTTATCGGATTCCTCCATGAGTCGGATGAGGCGGACACTTTGGCCTTTGACGACTTGGGAACGACGCTCGCCAAGATGGAGGATGACTACCCCGAGGTCCAGGACCCGTTATTAGAAATAAATGTAGGGACCGAGCCCGAACCATGGCCTCTTTTTGTAAGCCAGCTTTTGAGCCTTGAATTAGCAGCCGAGATTATCGGCCTACTTCATGAATATAAGGATTGTTTTGCTTGGAATTATCATGAGATTCTTGGATTGCCAAGAAGTTTGGTTGAGCACGAGCTAAAAATTAGGGAGGTGTTTAGGCCTTTCCAACAGTCGCCGAGGCGATTCTCGACCGAAGTACAGCTTAAGGTCAAAGAGGAAATTGAACAGCTCCTTAAAGCCGGCTTGATCCGCATGGCTCGGTACGTTGAGTGGTTGGCTAACATTGTACCGGTGTTGAAAAAGACTGGGGCTTTGAGGGTTTGCACCGACTACAGAAATCTAAACCTCGCGACCCCCAAGGACGAGTATCCCATGCCTAAGTCCGACCTCCTGGTGGACGGAGCCGCGAAGCACGAGGTCTTGTCTTTCGTGGACGGCCACGCTGGTTACAACCAGATCTTCATAGTCGAGGAAGATGTCCACAAGACGGCGTTCAGATGTCCAGGCGCAATCGGGACTTATGAATGGGTAGTCATGACATTCGGCCTGAAGAACGCCGGCGCGACGTACCAACGAGCTATGAACCTTATTTTCCACGACCTAATTGGCCGAACCGTTGAAGTCTACATCGACGACGTTGTTGTATAGGCTTTCAATTGCATGCGGGCACACGACCTAAAGATGAACCCTAAGAAATGTGCTTTCGGCGTCACCGCCAGGAACTTTCTCGGTTTCTTGGTCCTCCAACGAGGGATCGAGGTAGATAAGAATAAAGCCACGGCCATTATGACGGCACCCCCGCCGAGGACCAAAAAGGAACTCCAGTCTTTCCTCGGTAAGGTCAACTTTTTTAGGCGGTTCATATCCAATTTGGCAGGAAAAATCCGGCCATTGACTCCTCTGCTCAAACTAAAAGACACAAAACGGTTCGTGTGGGGGGCAAAACATCAAGCGACCCTAGACGACATCAAGCAATATTTATCTCAACCACCGGTCCTTATGCCGCCGAAAAGAGGGAAACCCTTGAGGCTTTACATTTCGGCTTCAGAAGGCTCTATCGGTTGTCTGCTGGCCCAAATCAACGAGTGTGAGCTAGAGCAAGCAGTGCATTATCTGAGCCGCACCCTTAACATGGCTGAGCTAAACTATTCACCGATCGAGAAATTATGCTTGGCACTTTATTTCGCGGCCACCAAGTTGCGCCATTATATGCTTCCTTCGGTCGTTCAGATCATCTCCAAGACCGACCTCATCAAATACATGCTTACTCGGCCGATCATACGCAGCCGGATCGGGAAGTGGACGATGGCATTTTCCGAATTCACCTTCCAATATCTGTCCGAATCCAAGCGTGCTGGTTGGACGCGGCCGGGTAGATTTTGCCGATGATATCCACGGCCCATCTTCTGAACGGCCATGGTTTAGTAACCGGGTGGAGGGCGTCAGCCGGTACCCTTTGTTGGAGGTTGAGATCGGCATGGCCCACATGGCATTGGCCGATTTCTTGGCCCACCACCCGGCTCATGGGCAAGAGGGGGAGTTGGAGGTTGAGATCGGCATGGCCCACATGGAGAAGAACTACTGCACCATGTACTTCGATGGCTCCAGTACCGAGACCAGATCTGGGGCCGGGGTCGTGATCGAGTCCCCCCAAGGACAAAGGTGGCAATTTGCGTTCCAGCTTGATTTCAAATGCACCAATAATCAGGCAGAATATGAAGTACTCATCATTGGTCTTGAAATTCTAAAAGAAATGAAGGCAACCTATGTTCTGGTGTACGGTGATTCTCAGCTGGTAATTAACCAACTGACCGGGGAATACCAGTGCACGAGAGAGAATTTAACTTTGTATTATGTAATGGCCCTCAATACGGTAGACAAATTTTCTAGGATCTCCTTCGTTTACGTACCGCACGCCGAAAACCATGAGGCCAATGAGATGGCCCAGGTAGAGTCAGGTGTGAACATTCCGGACAGTGACCACGACCGCGTAATAAGGATCGAGAAGCGCACCCTGCTGGCTTTGGCCGAGCGAGGAATGACGGCGCAAGTATCATCAGCCGAGATTACCGACGAGGTCGAAGCGGCCGAAGCCGACTGGCTCTACCCCATAGTAAAGTATCTTCGCGATCCCTCTGGCAACCATGAAAGGACTACTCGTTTCCGAGCTCGGTGTTATTTGATTTATCAGAACGAGCTGTATCGAAAAGGATCAGACGGTTTATTGCTCTTATGCCCCAGCGCCGAAGATATCAAGGTTATCATGGCCGAATCCCACAAAGGGATTTGCGGTGCTCACCAGTCCGGCATTAAGATGAGATGGTTGGTCCGGAGGCACGGCTATTATTGGCCGACCATTTTAAAGAACTGCATAGAATATACGAAAGGGTGCATCATGTGTCAAATCTACGGCCCCATACAAAGGGTACCGGCTGACGCCCTCCACCCGGTTACTAAACCATGGCCGTTCAGAAGATGGGCCGTGGATATCATCGGCAAAATCTACCCGGCCGCGTCCAACCAGCACGCTTGGATTTTGGTGGCAACTGACTATTTCACTAAATGGGTCGAGGCGGAGTCCTATCGGTCCATTTCTAGCACACAGGTGGTCAGATTCTTCGAAAATCACATCGTCCACAGATTCGGTATACCCGAAACCATCACGGTCGATAACGGCCCAGTCTTCGAATCAGCCAAAACTCGAGAATACGCCGAGAGGATAGGGATCAAATTGGTCCACTCGACACCCTACTACCCACAATCTAACGGACAGGCCGAGGCGAGCAACAAGGTAATCAAGGGCATCCTCGAGAAAATGATTGAGGGAAAACCTAGGGCGTGGCACGACTTACTCCCTGAAGCCCTTTGGGCTTACCGAGTCTCAAAACGATCGGCCACTGGCACCTCCCCTTATGCCTTAACCTATGGCCATGACGCCATCGTTCCGATGGAGCTAAAGGTTCGGTCTCTTCGCGTGACCGAACGACCTGGGCAGGAAGAAAAGGACTATGCGCAGGCCATGGCTCATGAGTTAGAAGACTTGGAACAATCCAGACTCGACGCTTATAACCTAATGCAGGCACAAAAGCAGATCGCGGCGAGGTCCTACAATAGGAAGGTGAAGCAAAAGACTTTCGCCGAAGGCGACTTGGTATGGCGTGCCGTGCTTCCTATCAGGACTAAGGACCCTTGGTTCGGCAAATTCTCACCCAATTGGGAAGGGCCGTTTATTATCGAACGGATCCTTCGCCGAGGTGCATTTCAATTAAGAGATAGGGATAGGGAATGTCACAACTTGCCAATAAATGGCCAGTATTTGAAGAAATATACCCCGTCATTTTGGGAGACGGCCAAGAATGGGTTATAAGGTTTACAATTGACAAAGATGAAAGAAAAACATACATTCGGTCAGAAGAAAAAGAGGGTTGTACTTCATTTAGATTAAAAAGGGGTCGCAGTTACAAAAGAACGGCCGGTCATGGCCGAATGAAACATATAAGCATACATGTGCGAAAAATAGAGTACATCCTAAATCTATGAACCGCTTCTTGATCCCCTCACTAGAGCAGGCAGATGATTCTTCCCTAGGCAGTGCCTCCACCGCCCACGTTTCCACTAACCGCGGCCATAGGCAAGGACGTCACTCGGGATATGGGTGAACCCGGGTTGTAATCAAGGCCGTCGCTCGGGCCATGGCCGAGGCCGTCACTCTGGACACAGGTGCAGCCGGCTAAAGTCAGGGCCGTCATTCCGACCATGGGTGAGGACGTCACTCTGGACATGGGTGAAACCAGGTTGCAATCAAGGCTGTCGCTCGGGCCATGGCCAGGGCCATCATTCTGGGCATAACTATGGCTGGGTGAAGCCAGGACCGTCACTCCGGCCATGGGTGCAACCAAGGTGCTAGGCCAAACGAACATGGCCAAGTTGGAATCATCACACCAGGCCCTTCCATCTTCATCGATCGCATTGCAGTTTCTCCATGGCCTCATAAGAAGGAAGGTCATCCTTCCTAGGGCCGGGAAGGAATCTCGGCCACACCATGGCCTTGGCCCACGTCGACTTTCCAAGACGAAGGATAGTTGGTGGATAGCAGGAGGTAAAAAACCATTGGATCAGGCCACGACGCGGGGATCCGCGGATATGGCTCAACCCTGGTTCTAGAGAAGCTAGCGGGGGGGGGGGGGGGGGGGGGGAGGGGAGGCAGGTTAGAATGAAGGGGAAGGAGTGGAGAAAAGTGAAGAAGGCCAGGCTTTTATATTGGCGCTAGAATTTGAAACAAAAGGGCATGGCTCTCTCGAGAGACGATGCAGTTTGACAGTACGTTCGCATGCGAGATGACGTGGCGGAAGCTTAGAAGCCGTCGTTTCATTTAACAAGACGAAACGGCGGCTTGCGCAATAATGGCCTGCAAGACGTGCTTGCGCATTTAATGCACCGATTGACCTACGCATTTAAAGCACTAACTGTCAATTACTTCAGGGGGAATGCAAAGGGTCCATCCCTTGGAATCCTTTCGGCCTCTGCCCAGGCCGCGACCGAAGAATCTAAGGATGTGGGGGCAATGTTTGTGCCCAATAAATCATGGTCATAAACTGATTGAGGGGATTTCCTTTTGGCCCTGGCACCTACTGTTTCGTCAAGCATTTCGCCTTCCTAAGAACAAAAGAAAAACTGCGAAGGTAGAATCCTCTCGGCCTCGCGACCGCAGTGTTGAAGGCCGAAGCCGAAGGCCGTAAAAGACACGGCCGAAGAAGTTGTGGTTAAATAGCCACATGGCCTCAGGGTCCCACGCCCCATTTAATGAAGTAATGCCTCTGACTTTCGCAGCAAACCCACTAGTCGCAAGAAGCATTTAATGCACAAGGGAAGTGACTGAATTCAGGATTTGGTGATGGAAATCAGGGTGGTTAGGCGCAGACATTCTCACAAGTAATCTTACGACTTGAGGTCAGATCACCAACCACCAGACCAGGGCATTAAATGCGTTCCCACAGCCAAGGGGGCAGAACCCACGATCAGGGCGGTGGCCGAGATTTACCGAGATTTATGGGGGTCACACCACCATGCTTCTCAACCCCAAACCATCATGCTTCACGATCCTAAATGCCGATTTGACTACCCACTTGCCCTGGTCAGGCTCCACCACGCAGGTCTTGTCAGCCTCGATTGTCCCTCCAGGACTCCTCTTATAAATACTAAGCTCAAGACTACATTCAAAGGGTTCAAACACCAAACCAAAAGCCTCCCACGGAGCAAATTATATTTTCCTGTAATGCACTTTCAATACCTTTATTTGCTTTCCTAGGAAAATCCATTCATCAATATTATCATACGGCCCTTGATTTTCAAGGCGCCGGAGCACCATCTCTGTTATCGTCTCACTCATCCCATATATCATACGACCGTCACTCTTTGAGTAACGCGCCGGAGCACCGCCTAAAACCCACCACCAACGCCACCACTAAACGGCCTTGTAGCTCAGGTCGTGAACTTGACGGCCGAGATCAGTTCCTCCCTAGGCCACAATCGTTTGATTAGGAGTCGAACGCAAAACAGGAGCAACATTTAAACCATCTTCTATCCGAACCTCATCATCATCTTGACGCATGGTAGACCGTGCTGGCACGCCCGCGCACAACCGCACCGCATCCAAAAGAAGGACGTCACGTGTTGACGCACATCCCCTCGGCCCGGAGCACCAGGCCGTGAGATTCGCAATAACCAACAGCTAAGAAGGATTTTGAGCTTAACTCTTCTTGCTGATGTCACTCACTTCAAGCAAAAGATAGAAGTTAGTCAGCCACGCTTCAAGAAATTCAAATAAAAAGATAGCAGATCATAAACCACAAAAAGACATATCGTTGCAATAGGTGATGGGAACAAGTGGATGATCCAAAACTTCTAGTCGATAGAACTATGAATTCCTAGTTTATAGGAATAAGGGAACGAGAGGAATTTTAAGACAATTTAGAGAAACAAAAGGAAGAAGCTAAGGAACTGCTTTGAGTTCTGCCTGTTTTAATTCATTCAACTACAATGGTTTATATACAAGCCTGAATGCCTAGAATAGAAAACTAAAAATAATAAATGAATTTAAACCACAAATGTTAAATGGTTTAAATTCTTTAGGTAATTCAAACCATTAATTTTTAAATGGTTCAGAACCATTTCTTCTTAAACCATTCGAGTCGAATGGTTGATAAATTATTTAATTTAAATAATATTTATTATTTAATTATCTTGAAAAGATCCACCTGGATCATGGCTCTCCCATTTAAGACCTTGAGCTCCTGCTCAAGTTAAATGGTGAGATGTGGAAATTCTTGAGTAGCCTTGTCTCGAATATACCATTTCGATTTGCTGGGAAGTTGCCCTTTACTGCCAATACGAAAATACTCATACTTTCCATGTCGGGTCTCACGAACCTTCTGCTCCAAGATACAATCCTTCAGCAAAGGGTCTTCTAGTTCAATTTTTAAGTCATCAACTGATGGAAGCCAAATGTCTTCGTCGGGATCATCATCAAGTAGAGATGGCTCAAAAAGCTTAAGATTCTCGGCATTGATGACCGAGTACATATGCATGTATGGTGGTAATTCAAGTTGAAAGGCATTATCACCAATTTGTTTGATGATCTTGAACGGTCCATAACGAATAGGCTTCAGTTTCTTGCCTTCACCTGTTAGCCGCTCCTTTCCAAGGTGTAACCATACTAGGTCACCTTCTTTGAAGTTACATGGCACACAATGCTTATCATGGCGAGCTTTATATCGTTGCTGAGAACGTTTCAATTGTGCCTCCACTTCAGTATGAATCTTTCTGACTCGTTCGAGAAATTTATTGGCTCGAATATGTTCTTCTTCTTCTTTCCCACATAATGGTTGGTCACTCATAGTGAATGCTAAATCAAAAGGACTCTGGGGTAAATAACCCAAACAAACCTCAAATGGAGATTTGAGTGTAGAGCCATGAATTGCTCGGTTGAAAGCAAACTGTAAGTAAGGGAGACTTTCATCCCAAGTCTTCGGATGCTTGGAATTGTAACCCCTCAACAAGTGTACCATAGTCCGGTTTACGACCTCCGTTTGCCCATCTGTCTGTGGATGAAAAGCAGTGCTTCTTTTCAATCTTGTATCCATCATTCCCCATAACGACCTCCAGAAATGGCCTAAGAATCGACTGTCTCTGTCAGAAATAATTGATGTAGGTAAGCCAAAATGCTTCCAAACATATTGGAAAAATAACTTAGCAGCTCCTTCTCCAGTTACGGTCTTCTTGCATGGAATGAGAATCACCATCTTACTGAAACGATCTACCACCACAAACAAGTAGTCATTTCCAGACTTGGTTTTAGGCAAGCCACCTAAGAAATCCATCGAGATACTCTCCCAAGGTCGAGTAGGTACTGGTAATGGAAGATACAGTCCTAACTTCCTGTTGGAAGGCTTCGATGTGTTGCATAGAACACAACCTCGAATGTATCGTGAAACATCGAGATGCATCTTTGGCCAATACACATAGCGACGAAGATTCAATAAAGTCTTCTCAACTCCAAAATGCCCTGCTACTTTAGAAGTATGAGCCTCACGAATCCATTGCAATCTGTCACCATCTTCTGGAATGCACAATTGTGTTCCCTTATACATTAGTCCATCTTTCAATTGAAACTCACTAGTCTTTCCTTGTTCCAGCTTGGCATAGGCTGAGTTGAAATCAGCATCTGTGTCGTACCCTTTGGCATATTCAGAAGGAACAATGGGTTGGATTTTCATAGCCACCAGCAATGCGGAACTAACTGGTGTAGGTGGTCTAGATAACATATCTGCCAACTTATTAGTTGCTCCCTTCTTGTACTTTATCACAATACTGAATTGTTGTAGGTAAGACATCCATTTCATATGGCGAGCTTGCTGTAACTTAGACTGTGTAGTTAAAAACTGAAGAGGTTTATGATCTGAGTGAACTACGACTTCTTTTCCCAACAAGTAAGCTCTCCAATGCTTCACTGCTTGATGCATTGCATACAACTCCTTGTCATAAGTCGGATAATTCAATACCGGTCCACTAAACATCTCAGAATGGTATGCAACTGGTTTCCCATCTTGAAATAATACGGCTCCCATAGCATAGTTCGATGCATCTGCTTCCACTTCAAATGGTCTCTGCAAATTCGGTAATGCTAATACTGGGGCCTCTGTAATCTTCCGTTTCAACAACTGGAAAGATTCCTCATGGTTTCTCGACCATTCAAATTTTTGATTGGCCTTTGTTAGAGAATGTAAGGGTGCTGCAATTTGTGAAAAGTGCCGAATAAACTTTCGTAAATATTGACATGCACCTATAAAGCTCCGAACTTCAGTCACTGTTTGGGGAATAGGCCATTGAGAAATCACCTGCACTTTCTCTAGGTCCACTTTCAGTTCTCCTGCACCAACAATGAATCCCAGGTATACAAGGTGTTGTTTCCCAAATTCACACTTCTTACCATTTAACTGTAACTGATTTGTTCGTAGAACCTCCAAAACTTGAGCAATATGATGAAGATGTTCCTCCCATGTGACACTAAATATGAGAATGTCATCTAAGTATACAATGACGAAGTCGTCAATGAAAGGGCGGAGTACCTCATTCATCAATCGCATGAAGGTAGCTGGAGCATTGCATAATCCGAATGGCATGACTAACCACTCGAATAGTCCCTGCTTGTTTTGAATGCAGTTTTCCAAGTATCTTCGTCATGGATGCGGACTTGGTGATAGCCAGATTTGAGATCAAGCTTAGTGAAGTAGCGTGCACCATGTAGTTGATCTAGTAGGTCATCAATCCTCGGCAATGGATACCGATTCTTAATGGTTATTTTGTTGAGTGCCCTATAATCTACACACATACGCCAGTCTCCGTCTTTCTTAGGCACAAGTAACACTGGCGAACCACATGGTGAGCAGCTGGGTTTGATGACTCCTTGTTCAAGAAGTCCTTGAATTTGCTTCTTGATCTCGTCAGATTTCGTCACAGAAGTACGATACAAACCCAAGTTTGGTAGAGGTGAATCTCCTACCAACTGGATCTCATGCTCCACAGCTCTCCGTGGTGGCAAACCCTGCACATCATGAAATAAGTCCTTGAACTTCTCCTGTAATTTCCCTATGTCTGAGCATTGTGCAGGAGATAAAGACAATGTAGACAATGTCACAGCTCTAGAACTCTGATCTTGCGGTTGAATCATCAACAAAACGAATCGCCCACATGAATTGACTAACCTCTTGGCTTGGTTAGCTGTCAGCAAATTATCTGTAAGCAAATTATTTGTAGCTTGAGGCTTGCAAGCGTTGATGTGGAACTCCTTCCCATCTTTCACAAGTCGATACTTGCAAAGCCTTCGATAATGGATGGCATCTCGGTCCCATAAATATGGACTACCTAATATGACTTGGCAAACATCCAAAGGAACCACCTCACATGTCACCTCATCGATATATCAATTGGTGATAGCAAATTTGAAGGTACATTGCTTCGTGATCTGTAAGTCAACATCCTTCTGAATCCATCCTAACGGGTACGGCTTAGGATGTGGTGTGGTGTTTAAACCCACTGTTCTTACTAAAGCCTCTGAAATCAGGTTTTTCTGACTTCCAGGGTCAATAATAGCTTGTACAACACTTTGCTTCACCTGGATATTCACATGAAACAGCTCTTCACGGTTGTACGTGTCTTCAGTATCTGCTGGTCTTGTCATAAGGGTAAGTGTAACATCAGGTTGCTTCAACTCTGGAAGCTCTTCTGCCCGTTGTGCAGTTAATGTGGCTTTTCTGTCATTTCTCCCCTGGTTGTTTTTCTCGCGCTTTGGCCGTAACTCTGGATGGAGTATCCAGCACTTGTCTTTGGCATGTCTGCTGGTTTGACAGTGATCACAGTAGACATTCTGTGTCTGACCTTCCTTGCTCTGCTTCCCCTTTTTCTGCCAGTCAGTTTTGTTGACAGGTTTTGATCTGTCATCCTTCTTGTCAGTTCTTTTATTTTTTGCCTCAATGGCTATGGCCTTCACAGTAGCATCTTCAATAGTATCTACGGTGAACAATTTTAGTTCTTTCCGTATGTAGTCGGCAAGACCTCCGGTATACTTCATGAAAACGTCGTAGTCGTCAACGTCAATGTCCAGAACCATAGCTTGGTTGTGGAACTCTGTTGTATACTCTTGTACAGGCTGCCCAAATCTTTGTCTGAAGTGTTGCCACTTATACCATCTTTCATCTTCATAGCCAACTGGATAAAATTGTTTTCTCAAAAGCTTCTTGAAGTTCTTCCAAGTCAATTCTGAGACATCATACCGTCTCTGATAGGACTTCCACCATGTAAAGGGATGGCTTGAAAGTTTCAAACTCGCATATTTTATTTTTTGCACATTAGAATACTTATAAACTGTGAAATAAGTTTCTAATGTGTCTATCCAGTTATCTAGCTTTTCAGGATCAATATCTCCTTTATAAATAGGGATGTCAACCTTAAAATCAATCTTTAAGGTATCAATAGAATTTTTATTGTCACCTGATTCAGCTTCCTTTTTCGTTGGATCAGCTTGTATGTCGTCTTCATCTTCGCTATCTTCAACAACCTTTTTCTTGAGCTTTTGATCAGGCTCAGATGAAGTTGATGGACGTGAAGATTTTCCAGTCTTCAAACTCTCCACGAGTTTAAGGATTGATGCAGACAAGTTTTCAACTTGTTGCTCAAGTTTAGTGATGCGATCGCCATCACTAGATGTATCCTGTTTGTTTTCTCCAGTCATATTGTCTCTCTTGGACTTTGGCTTTCGGTGTACGAGCAAAGGACCTAAAAGTTCTTCTCCAGAAGCTTTGCGTTGGTTGCGAGTTGAGACCATAAACCACCGTCACCCTCTCGGATCTGGGGCTCTGATACCACTTGATCCAAAACTTCTAGTCGATAGAACTATGAATTCCTAGTTTATAGGAATAAGGGAACGAGAGGAATTTTAAGACAATTTAGAGAAACAAAAGGAAGAAGCTAAGGAACTGCTTTGAGTTCTGCCTGTTTTAATTCATTCAACTACAATGGTTTATATACAAGCCTGAATGCCTAGAATAGAAAACTAAAAATAATAAATGAATTTAAACCACAAATGTTAAATGGTTTAAATTCTTTAGGTAATTCAAACCATTAATTTTTAAATGGTTCAGAACCATTTCTTCTTAAACCATTCGAGTCGAATGGTTGATAAATTATTTAATTTAAATAATATTTATTATTTAATTATCTTGAAAAGATCCACCTGGATCAGTGGACCATTGCCAACGTGGCCCTCCCATCGTTCGTTGACTTCTGAAACATCGTCGTGTCACACGTGATGTCATTGACTAAGATTGTCAAATCACTTGGCATTGCAGATGTGAACTTCGGCGTACTCCTTGAAGTGCCTCACTTTCTAAAAAAATAGAAGAACTCTCGCCTTTGAAGAAACCTAACCAAGAAGGATACCAGTAGATATTACGTATTCCATGAAGGGCACAGTCATTAAACAAATGATTGCTTCACCTGAAAAAGGCATTTCGAATAGCTAGTCAGTGACGGCCATTGCATGGAGTTCATCGTAAGGGGACCTGTCCACCAAATCAAGGATTGTGACGCAGTTGCCAATGAGCCTCCACAAAAAAAGGTCATACAGATCAACACAATCCTAGCTGACTCCAAGAGCCCCAACTGACCACCAGGGAGCAGAAGATAAAGATCAAGTAGGCAACTTTCGTCTCCCAAGCAGTCACTGGCTACCCAGTTATGGAAGACAAACTTGTCATCATCTTTCGATGGAAGGAAGTTCCAAGGTAATGGAATGCCCAACACCTCTGGAGGCGCTATCCATGAAGTTCCTCACCTATCAGCTCAACTCCAAGTAGGCGGTCAAGCCTCCCTCACCTCTAATGAAGATAAGTTACTTTTGATGTTACTCATGCAACTCATCTTTTTGTTCAATAAAGCAATGTAGTCACACAGACATCAATACAAGTTCAAGCTTTTCTTTCCAATGGAGTGTTCACAAAAGCAATTGACACGTCTCCGGACCTAGGTCAAACGGGCCATTCTCACCGACATGTCTCTAAACGTAGGCCAAACAGACCACACTCACTGACACGTCACAGGACGTAGGCTAAACGGGCCATACTCATCGACACGTCTCCGGACAACGGCCCACTCTCACCGACACGTCTCTGGATGTAGGCCAAACGGGCCACTCTCGCTGACACGTCTTCGGATGTAGGCCAAATGAGCCACACTCACCAACACATCTCTGGACGTAGGCCAAAAGGGCCACACTCATCGACACGTCTTCGACATAGGCCAAAAGGGCCACACTAGCCAAAAGCTTGTCATAACTGAGAGAGATGTTGGCATTCTTGTGCTCAAGACGAAAGTAAGCATCTTTTCGACCAGCCAAGTCAGCAGTAGAAGAGCTAAAATTGGAATCCTTCTCAGCAAAGAAACTTTTCAGCTCAGATATCATCGCCCTTAAATCAGACTTCTTCCTCTCATAACGGGTCTGCTAGGCAAAAAGCTTGCTAACTAACTCGGTATTCTTCTTCTCCAACTCATTGAGCTAAGCAGAAGAGGGGTCAACAACAGACAAGTGCTGAATGAAAGGTCGCTTCCCTTTGTTTTTCCAAGGAAAGACTTGAGAAAGTACCAAGATCGCCAGCCTGACAGATTTGATCAACCAGATCAGACACACCTGCATCCCCTGTAGGGCCGGACTTGTCCACCTTGGGATTAACCGCTAACGTTGTAGATGACTCTCTCTCCTTCTTGGCCGCCGCCATCCTCACCTCCAAAGGAGTCAGCAACGACGAATCAACTCCACGCTTGACTGGTCGTGACTTAATAGTTGGATCATCATGGTTGGGTAGATGAGCAAACCTTCCAGTTCGACCTCCATCCTTTGATTGGTGCAGACGGCGATCGAAAATCGACAGGAAGTGGCGGTGCCACGGTTCACACGTGAAAGAGAAGCAAAGTTGTCGCAAGCGATAGAGAAATAGGAGAGAGAAAATGCTGACATACATTATTCTATAATAAGAAATGTAAAACAACAATAGTCCTAGGAATATGAAAGAGGACATGAGAACTATGTTATGACATACATTGAGACTTCTCACGGTCCCTAGTCATATCCTAAAAGTGTTCCTGGTCATAATAATATCAATTGGGCATTGATCTTCCACTAAGACCAGTACATGCAATATCTTCTCTAATGTAGAGAATGACAAGGTCTCATGTGATTAAGTGTAGTGACACCCAGATATGTATGTAGGTGCTTGTAGGGGAATAAGAACATTGAATGCGATCAAAGATATAAGTTCTAGAATGGAAGTCTTTACTCACATGTCAAACTAGAACTTAGAAGTTGCATTGGTGCAAACTAATCCTTAGACTTGAGACATGATAGCTGTCTTATGACTATGTTGTGTGTCTTTGAAGGCACTATATAGTTGTGTTATTGAAGACATAACCAAAAGGAATTTATCAGAACTCTCAATAAAGTCATGAAGGCAAATGAATGTACAACAAGGGATCTCTACTCTCAATAAGGAGAGAGAATACTCCTTAAATGTGATTGATCAAATCTTTGCACAAAGTAGTGGATAAGATTTAAAAAAAGAAGTCTTCAAATCTTACCAGGATAATCATATAAGGAATAATTCACATTAAAGTATTTGACATAAGACTCCATAATCTAACATTGTGAATAAGGAATGTTGTTCAAGAGAAGGATTCAATTGCACGATCATACCAACTTGAATTGGTTCTTCACTATATCCTATTTAGCTTGCATAACCATGAAATGTTGCTTGGCACCAACCATGGTTTGTGGAAGTCTAGAAATGTTCAATCACAATTGACCTTCACTAATAGGAAGAATTAAATAGTGAGAATTAATTCAAAAGTCAACTAAGAGAAGTTGAGTCAACCCACTAATTTGCTAAAAGGAACCTATGGATTGCACACCAAAAAATGTGATTAGAGGAAAGTGTAACACCCTATCTTGACTAATTATTTTATTTTGTGAAGTTACATTTTTGCCCTTGGGGTAGGGGCTACTTTAGACACTTTTTGTTCGGAATTAGTTTCGGTAGTCAAAATTGTACCATTGCGTACAGCTCGCTCTCACGAGTTCATAGACACATAGTGGGCTCAAATCGGAGTTTTAACGAGGAAGTTGGGATCTACAGAAGAGCAGTGGCACAATCTTAATTTTGGAGAAGTCAAAATTTAAAAACCCCAGGTCAGACCATCCTATGCCTACCTCTTTTAGTTCCCAAGTCTAGTCAGTTTTATAATTCCCACATACCAAAGTCTTGACCATCTCATGTTCTCTCCATTCCCCAAAGATTTCTTTCCTAAACTCATCAGAACTTCCAAACCCGTCAGTTCTATTCCATGCTTCGAAACCCCTCTCTCTTTAACTCAAAACAAACTATCGTCCTCTTCAAACTTGTTCATCTGTCTAGTAGAACATATCCGAAAATTATATCAATCAAAGAAATATAAACACCTCAAAACCCAGTTTGAGGACGATCAGCTCATATTTGCCTGGTACTCTGTGTTATGCACGGATTTATCTTTGCATGCTAGTTTCTATTGCGCGTACCTCTGTTCTTTCACAAATGTTGTTTCTAAGGTCGAGAGCTACAATATATCCAAAATTCAAGGCAATTGGAGATGTCTATCTACCCTAAATTGTGTTCAAGATGAGACTAGTCTTCTCGTACTTCCTGTCTGCTGTTTCCACACTAGTGTGAACTTATTCATTCTTGAATGTAGCCTTCCTCTGCTCTAATGGCACATTTACCTTCAAAAAAGTTGTTTATCTATGTTGTGGCTATGCTCTGTCAAATGTTAAGCTTCATCCAATAAGTATAGTCAACTCAAGACGTGTCTTAGTGTAACATGTTCATCTTTGTCTTCTCTACTGATGTAGGCTCAGATTCTGTCTTGCATGTAGATTTCACTTGCTCATATGAGAAAGATTCCTTAACGAAAGTTGTTGAGAATTCTGTATTCTACAACATATCCAAAGTTCATAGTCATCCAGCACGCTTAGCCCTCTCAGAAGTGGTACAAACTGAAACAAGGTTCTTTGTTTCCAAGTGCTATTTTGGTGGTTGTTCTCCTTGGGAGGTGAATTGAGGATTTCAGACCAATTTAGACGAGTGAGGTAAATATTTAAGATGTTTCTGGAAATATATTTTAGAGGTTAAATTCTTGAGGTTTTGTTGAATTGTTCCAAAGTTAAGTAGAATTGTGACGTCGTCCCGAGCACGACAATATGCTCATATTAGGGTTTGGTTATAGTTTGACTATTATGCAATATCCGGGTTCGATAGGTTCGAACCGTTCAATTGGTTCCATTTTGAATTATGTTATTCCTCGTACCTCTAGGATCCTGTAAGACCTTGTTGATCAAGAATCAGAGTCCCAGATAGTCTGAACTTGTTATTTAGGGTTAGACGAACTGATCACCATCCTATTGTACGATTGGATTTGATCAAAAATTGGAGGTTGGACCTATAGGAACTTTCGGACCAAACCTTCGGGACTTGTTTAGTAGACTTTATTGGACCTATAGGAACTTTGGATCGAAAATCGGAGGTTGTGGCCTAATGGGCCCGGTTGACCAATATGGAAAGTTTGACCACTCGGTTGACCGTGAGTCTTCCGAGGTTGTCTCATCCTTTAAAAACTACTAGATTGGCCCTAGGAACTCCCTAAATGTCATGCACACACTTTGAGTCCTGGGATTTAGGATTTTGAGTGGAAGTTCATGGTTGGATACTTTTATTGATTAAGTCCTCATGTTCTTTCAAATAGGTACTCAGGCTCTACGTACTCAACAGGCAAGACCCTCACTGGGTCAAGCAGCTTTGGACTCTTAGTGAGTGGACTTTGTTTTTAAAAAATGATCATTACTTTCAAATGATGGAATTACATGCATATTAGGGTTTGTTTGAGAAATTGATTATTCTGGTTATTGGTTTTATAATACTTATGAGAGCTTGGTACCTATATTATATATAAAATTTATGGATATTGAGTTTGGATAATGATGTTGTCAGGATGTCTATGTATCTTAGTTAGGGTGAATTGGAACATTTGAATTTCGGATATGTTTTTGGTAATGGAATTGGGAAGTGGAATTTGGTATATTGGAGTTTAGATTGCACCATGATATGTGCCACCCCTTGGATACTGATACTTGGATACGAATGTTACCCATACTTGCGATGTGTTGTTGGCGTGTGGGAGGATACTGGACACGCTTGGCGGGGTGTGCTGTAGGCCCTTGACGGGTAGTCTGCGCACATAAGACTTGTTTCAGCCGCATGTTCGATGTGTTGCCAACATGTTTGCTGCAGAGCAACAGTCCTCTGGTTGGACTACTCAACCCTAGTCATGGGGTAATGTGATGCTATTCCGTGGTCTAGCCAAACAATCTCCTAATTGGATTGTTTCCCTGATACTTAATAATGGTGTAGTGAGTACGTATGTGTATATATATATGGAGTCATATATTTTTATACTTATATATTTATAAGGATCTTTCTTTGCATGTTGTGTTTTTACAAGCATATGTCTCGGAAAGAGGTTGGTTAAAGGGAAAAAGGTCCAGTTTGATCATTGTATTATATGTTATATCTGGTTTATGGGATTACAATGATTTCAAATTCAAGTATACTATAATAATGGATTTCATTGCATGATTTTACATCATTTTCTTAAAACATGTGGTTATTATGTTCAAACTTTCTTTTTGTCCACTCACAATTTCTGTTTTGCGGCCCCTATGCTGTAACTTGACGTGACTTGCGCAACCAAGCCAAGTCTCTCTCATCCCATGCATCGACTTCCTTGTAGGATATCTTGGGTTGTGTAAACTAAATAATATCTTAGATTGCTCTGATATTGCCCATGTAGGGTTGAATTTGAGGCTGGAGGCCTATGTTGTAAAATGTGTGGTTAGAATTGTGCGTGCAGCCGTTTGAGATTTTTATTGCTTCATTTGTAGGTGTTTGTAATTTGGGGAAAAGTCCATTTTTTGGGTGAGACTCTACCGAAATGTTGGTAGAAGTCTTAATAAGTGGGCCCGTCATTGGTTAGATGTCGAACGGACAACAAGGTTCGTCATGGATCTCTAGGGGGAATTCAGGGCGGGTCTTGTCAAAAAGAAATTTGAGATCAAAAGTCAATGGTCAACGATCAAAATTCTAAGTCAATGATCACATCAAAGTCAACATGTTTGACCAATACAATTGACCGAGTCAAATTAGTTAGACTATAAGGTAACTTAATGGTTAAGTTATAATTCATAATTAAAAGTTAGTTATGGAATTAGCTTTTGTTGGCGTGATTTGTGGATATTGACTTACTTTCCTTACACACCAAGGATTCCTATTATAATTGTAATTGATTTACTTTAATTCCTGATTTCCTACTGTAAATAGATTTAGGAATCTATTATTTACTTGCCCATTCAGGTTTTGTTGTATTATAAATATGACCTCCTACAAGGAGAAGAATACACAGAAAATTCCCACAAACAAATATTCTATCATAGTTCTCATATTTTAGCATGGTATCAGAGCGGCAATCTTGGGATTGCTGACTCTAGTTTCTAAACCCTAGCCGCTACCATAGGGGAGGATGACTCTTCTAACCCTCATGGCGGTAGCACCACTGCTTCCTCCTTTCCTTCTCAACTAACCATAGCCAAGTTGAGTGCCCAGGTGGCTCAACTAATGCAGATGCAAACTCAGACCTCGAACTTGATCCTAACCCAGGATCCTACCAAGACGACCCCGACCTCGACTCAGACGATGACCCCGACCTCGAATCAAACGACGACCTTGAACCCGAATCAGACAACGATTCCGACGACGATTACCTATGAAGCTTCCGCTGCACAGATTGGCATAAAGTTGGATGGCACCAACTATGCCCTATGGTCCCAAGTTGTAGAGTTGTATATCGCCGGCAAAGACAATTGGGATATATTAATGGTGATCTTCCACAACCTCCTTTGACCGCTCCAACGTTTCCTCGCTGGCGCACCGAGAACTCTATTGTAAAGGGATGGCTCATCAATTTTCTAGAGCAGAGCTTGATTGGCAATTTCATTCGTTTTTCGACGGTAAAAGCAGTGTGGGATGCAATTGCCACAACTTACAATGATGGCACTGACACCTCTCAGGTTTATGATCTGAAACGACGAGTCTCCCGTATGCGACAAGCTGGCAGCTCTATTGAAACCTATTACAATACTCTCCAAAGCTTATGGAGAGAAATTGATTTCCGTCGTCCAAATATGATGGAGTATGAAAATGATATCAAGCGGTATAATGATATTCTACAAGAAGATCGAGTTTACATATTTTTGGATGGCCTTGATGATCGTCTTGATAAGGCCCGAAGTGATGTTCTTCACATGACTCCATTCCCTACTGTGGACCAAGCTTATGCCTATGTTCGCCGTGAAGATGTTCGACAAGCAGTGATGATGGGTTCATCTGCACCCACTGGCGCTGGCTTAGCGGCGAAGAGTGCGCCTCGATCAGGTCCCCTTACTCGTGCCGGACAGCCCCATAATTCCTCTACTCCAGCCCACCTTCAGATCCAATCATATGCTACTGCTGCTGGTGCGCCACCTCCTAAAACTATCCCACCTTCCCGTCCCAAGGCTCCGACTGATGGAAGTGGCTGCACGCACTGTGGTAATCCCAAACATACCCGTGACACCTGTTTTAAGCTGAATGGTTATCCTGATTGGTGGGAGGACCTCTGCGCTCGCAAGCTCAGAGAAACTGCTAGTAATTCCGGCCGTGTTGCTCTTGTCTCTACCGAACCCCAATTAGCCTTGTTCTCGCAGGTAGACCCTACTGATAGTCCTGCGCTTCCGGATGTCTCAGGTAATTGCGGTTATGCATTTCATACTTCTGATATACGAGATACTACTGGTTGGATAATTGATTATGGCGCCACTGATCATATGACCTTTGATCCGAATGATTTTTTGCACACCACTACACCTCGCCGCACAAGTATTGCCAATGCAAATGGAGTTACCTATCCTGTAACAGAGGCCGGCACTGTCGCCCTTTCATCTTCTCTGTCCCTTTCTAATACTCTCCTCGTTCCATCTTTGTCCAATAAATTACTGTCTGTGAGCCAGGCAACTGAACAACTCAATTGTTGTGCACTAATTTATCCAAATTTTTGTTTGCTACAAGATATTCTCACCAAGGAGATCATTGGGCATGGTACTAAAAGAGGGGGGTTGTACTATGTGGAGGACTTCAGTATGGGACGTGCCAATAGTCTAAAGCATCCGTCTGATGATAAGCACAGACAGATTTGGCTCTGGCACCGACGTTTGGGGCATCCATCTTTTGGTTATATGAGACACTTATTGCCCGAGTTGTTTTCTGTATTTAAAGACTCAGATTTTAAATGTGACACTTGCATTTTAGCCAAGAGTCACAGAGCATCCTATCCTTTAAGTATGAATAAAAGTAATATTCCTTTTGCTTTAATTCATTCTGATGTTTGGGGACCCTCACCTATTTCTACTCATTCCGGTATTCATTGGTTTGTCACATTCGTAGATGATTGTACACGGATGACATGGCTTTATTTGATGAAAAATAAGAATGAAGTGTTTTCCATGTTTCCATCCTTTCACAAACAGATGGAAACACAGTTCAATGCTCGAATACAGATTCTTCGCTCTGACAACGGTGGAGAATTTGTCAATCATGATTTTCAGACTTACTTCCAGACACATGGCATTATTCATGAGACAACTTGTCCCCAGACACCACAAAAAAATGGTGTTGCCGAACGGAAGAATCATCATCTCCTTGAAACTACTCGTGCTCTTCTCATTGGTGGCCATGTTCCTCGTCATCACTGGGATGATGTTGTCATCACTGCTGTCCACCTTATCAACCGCATGCCATCTAGGGTCTTGAACTTCAAAACTCCATTACAAGTGTTGGTGCAACATGGGCCTCTACCCTCTGTTTCGGTGCTTACCCCTCGCATTTTTGGCTGTGTGGCCTTCGTTCATCTCCACAAAAATCAACGAAGCAAACTTGATCCATGTACGCTTCGTTGTGTGTTTTTGGGTTATGCCACTCATCAGAAAGGCTACCGATGTTATCACCCTCATACCCGGAGAACCTATGTCACTTTGGATGTCACTTTTCTAAAATCGAAGATGTTTTTCTATGACCCAGCATCCAATTCTACTCTTCAGGGGGAGATACCAAGTGAAGAGCTCAATTGGAGCAGCTTGGAAAACGAAGATATTCATCTATGCACAAAGATTGCTCTCGGCCAAGAAACAATAACAATCGATCGTCCCGAGTCTGGCACGTGCGAATGCCCTCTGCCAAACAACGATCAATCGCCTACCCCTTGCAAAGCTGTTTTTGATTCGAGTCATAATCCTACAGATAACTCAGAACAACAAGATGAAGACCCCCCCTCTCACTCAACAGTACCAACGGACCAATCTCCTGAGAATATCTTTGAGGTAAATACTCCTACTAGACTTGTGCATTTAGAGGATAAAACTATTAGATATCAATTACCTTTCAGGCAAAATCGTGGGAAGCCACCAAACCGTTATTCACCTGATATTGACAAGGCATCCAAGTATCCAATTGCAAATCATGTATCCACTGAGAAGCTGTCTGAACCACTCAAGGCTTTTGTGCATCAGTTGTCTGCTATCCAGATTCCAACCAAGGTCTCCGAAGCATTGAAAGATCCTAAGTGGGTCCAAGCTATAAAAGAGGAGATGAAAGCTCTTGAGAAAAATCAGTCTTGGACATTACAGACTATACCACGAGGAAAAAAGACTATCGAATGTAGGTGGGTGTTTACCATAAAACACAATGCAGATGGATCTATCGAGCGATACAGGGCAAGACTTGTGGCAAAAGGGTACACACAGACCTATGGTATAGACTATGAAGAAACCTTTGCACCAGTTGCAAAGTTAAATACCGTCAAAGTCTTATTGTCCCTTACAGCTAATTTGGATTGGCCACTACACTAGTTTGATGTAAAGAATGCTTTTCTACATGGCGAACTCGTGGAGGAGGTGTACATGGACATTCCTCATGGATATAATACTACTCAGACTGAAACAGTTTGCAGGTTACGAAAAGCATTGTATGGATTGAAACAGTCACCACGTGCATGGTTTGGACGGTTCACCGTGGCAATGAAGAATAATGGTTTCAAACAGTGCAACTCAGATCATACTCTGTTCTTGAAACATCGGAAAGGGAAGGTAACAGCATTAATAATCTATGTTGATGATATGATTATTACTGGGAATGATAAACAGGAAATATCACAGCTACAAGACTATTTGGCTACTGAGTTTGAGATGAAGGATCTAGGTGGACTCAAGTATTTCTTGGGAATTGAGGTTGCTCGATCGCAGCAAGGCATATTTCTATCTCAAAGGAAATATGTCTTGGACTTGTTGACAGACACAGGAATGCTAGATTGCAAACCTGCGGACACTCCTATTATTCAAAATCATCATCTTGGAGAATATCCTTATCAAGTTCCAACTAACAAAGAAAGATACCAAAGGTTAGTGGGAAGATTGATTTATTTGTCACATACTCGACCAGACATTTCTTATGCGGTGAGCGTTGTCAGTCAATTTATGCACTCTCCAAGTGAAGACCACATGAATGCAGTTCTTCGGATACTTAGATATTTGAAGTGTGCACCTGGAAAAGGACTTATGTTCTCAAAGCATGGTCATCTAAATATTGATGGTTATTCAGATGCAGATTGGGCAGGTAATGTAACAGATAGAAAATCCACATCGGGTTACTTCACATTCGTGGGAGGTAATTTGGTGACATGGAGAAGCAAGAAACAGAATGTAGTAGCTTTATCCAGTGCAGAAGCCGAGTTCAGAGGTATGACTAAAGGGATTTGTGAACTTCTTTGGTTAAGAAAGTTGCTTACTGAACTTGGGTATAAACCTACATCCACAATGAATCTCTTTTGTGACAACAAGGCTGCTATAGCCATTGCACAGAATCCAGTTCAGCATGATCGTACTAAACATGTTGAGGTGGATCGACACTTCATCAAACAGAAGCTTGAGGCTAAAGTGTTTCAGTTTCCTTTTGTGAAATCCGAGGATCAATTGGCGGATATTTTGACAAAGGCGATTTCCAGTAAAGCATTCCACAATTCACTGGATCAGTTGGGCATTGGCGACATCTATGCACCAACGTGAGGGAGAGTGTTGGCGTGATTTGTGGATATTGACTTACTTTCCTTACACACCAAGGATTCCTATTATAATTGTAATTGATTTACTTTAATTCTTGATTTCCTACTGTAAATAGATTTAGGAATCTATTATTTACTTGCCCATTCAGGTTTTGTTGTATTATAAATATGAGCTCCTACAAGGAGAAGAATACACAGAAAATTCCCACAAACAAATATTCTATCATAGTTCTCATATTTTAGCAGCTTTGACATTAGAAAAGTATTGGGCTTTAAATCAATTAAAGGAAAAAGGAAAAATGCCTAAACACCCATTGGACCCAAGAGAAATCCCACTACCCATGGTCGATCATAGGGGAGATGTTTCTCCTGACTGAGTCAAACTAGTTAGACTATAAGTGTAACTTAATGGTTAAGTTATATTTCATAATTAAAAGTTAATTATGGAATTAGCTTTGACATTAGAAAAGTATTGGGCTTTAAATCAATTAAAGGAAAAAGGAAAAATGCCCAAACACCCATTGGGCCCAAGAATAAGTGTTGTATAACAACACAAATTCATGGGACCCAAGAGAACTCCCACTACCCATGGTCGGCCATAGGGGAGATGTTTCTCCTGTTGTGTGTCTCATCTATTTAAGCCACACTATGACATTTCCAAGTTAGGGTTTTGGCCTCCTAAGCTTTTAGGTATATGTGTTGAAGGTGAGAATTCTCTCCCACCATTTCTTGCCAAAAATCGGTCCACCAAGTGGGAGTCTAGCACCTCTATCCTTTTGGTTGATCTCCTCTCCACATCCCTTTGCATTTGGTGTGGTGAAATAGAGGACATCTCATTTGGTGCTGAAGGGAATTTATTGTGTAGGGATTTCTAAAATTCCATAAAGCTATGAGAAAATAAATCATCTAGCATATAAATATCTAATACGAAATCAAATAAAGTGGAAACAAGAATAAAAGCTAGAGATTCATACAAGTCTCAGTTTTGGTCCTTATCTTTCTAGGCTTATGAAAACTTGCATCATTGACACTAATATCATATATTAAACAGATGGTAGAAAGGAGACATACCCTCATAACGAATCTTGAAACCAAGGATAGTGTTCAAGTAGAGGGATTAGTCCCTTTGATGTTGATTCTTCACTTTGCTCTCTTAATAGACACAATGGTGTTGTGCCTTCCCAAAGAATCTTCACCAAGGATAGAGGAGAATAGGAGAATAAGGAACCTTGAGGAGAAGATGGGTGCTAGCCTCCTCTTTTGCTAGGTGGCTAACCAAGGGAGACTACGGAGGAAGGTTATGATATTTTCCTCTCTTTCTAAATGTCTGACTTGAAACCCTTAAGGAGGTGTGGTGCTATGGCTTATCATATATAGAACCAAATTTTTCTTACTTGTGAGACATGTGGACCTTTGGTCCACACATGTGCCGCACCCTCCTTCTTGGTGGCCTTTTTCTGGTCTACTTTGGTCTACCACATTTATTTCATATGTTTTTTGTCTAAAATTCATTTTAAAGTTTTCAAGGGTAAATACTCAAATAGTCCTCAAACTTATACACGATTTACATTTTGGTCCCTCAATTAAATTATTCGTTCAAATGGTCCATCAACTCTATATTATTTGGTCAATTGGTCCTACCGCTACCATCTGTTAATGTTGCCGTTAAATATGAAGGCAAATTGGTTTCTCTCTCTCTCTCTCTCCACCATCTGAATATTTCTTGCACCCAAATTTTTTTTAAAACTAATTCCCTCTTCCCCCAAATTTCTTCTCACTCCCCCCCCCCTCCAAAAAAAAACAGCCACCCTCCACTCCAAAAACTCTCTCTATCCCAGCACGCTTCGCCTACCCAGCAATTATCTCCCAACCACCACAAAACTATACCTCAAATGCATTGCCTTATCTAACATGAGTGATGAAGAACCCAAAAGTATAGGAAGGTTGTATAAATTCATCAAATCTTTTCTCGGTTTGTCAATTGTATCTTTGGTCATTGAAGTCATTGCCTATTTCAAAAACTGGAATTTGAATCTGATTCAACCTTGGGAGGTTCAGGGTTTGGTGAAATGGTCCTATATGACCTGGTAGGTGTTCAAGGTTGACTATATTGCTCTTGTGGCTATATTTCTATCCAAATTATGAGTTGTAATTTTTCTGATTCAATCTCTTGGTTGACTCGTTCTGTGTCTTGGATGTTTCTGGATCAAATACAAGAAGATAAAGCCTACAGTAGCAGCTTAAGTGAAGGAGTGGTGGATCTTCAGTAGAGCGAGAGGGTTATGAACCTTCCGCACGAAAGGGTCCTGCAGAAAAAAATAAGGAAAAAGCAATCATCAGTCTTCGGGCGTCGGTGTGGTACCTACCAAAGGCTCTTCGATGCTTAAGTCAGCAAGTATATGTGGTAATTTGGATAGAGTAACAGTAAAGGTGAAAAGTGGTTACTCTTTTTTACTTGGGCACTGTTCCCTATTTATAGGGGAGTGAAAATGAGAGTTTTGCACAAAGTTTTGATGTGGGACATTGTGCAAACTGCTGCAGAGGTGACATGTATCCATGTAGATTAGGTTCTGTAATTAGGAGCATCAGCAGGTGGTTACCGCTTTTGAAGGGGGGTTCCTTCAGTAGGCCAAAGAAGGTGATGATGTCACTCGTCTTCTAAGGGCTTCTCTATGTGCCTACTTGAGTATCAGTTGTCTAGTGCCAAATACGTTTGGTTGATTATGGTGTAAACAGTAGTCCCCAAAGTTGCCAATCAAAGAGTGGCTTCTGGGTTGGGAACTTGTACAAATTTTAAATAATTAAACCGAGCATTTCGGTATGACGGGTGTCGTAGGCAGTCCCCTAGTACCCCCAAATTCTGGAGCTAGAAGGCATGTTTGTTGGGAAGGTGGCTCTCAAAAGGGCGTTCTCGTGAAACCGGTACATGGGGAGACAAAGAAAAACAGGGATGTCATCTGGGAATTTTTTTTTAACCACCTAGAAGTTCGGCACAGTGGGTGCCGAAGATATCGGTATGTGGTGCCGAAGCGTGTTGCATGTGGGAGTCACGTGTCCATATGCACGTTCGACACGATGGGTGCTAAACGGAATACGTGATGTTAGTTGGCTTGTTGCTCGTCCCTTTGTGAATTTGGCGTGGAGGGTGCAGAATGGAGGGTGTGACATCATCATGCGAGTCGCATGAGTCCCCTTACGCATTCAGCATTGAGGGTGCAAAACGAAAGTGTGACGTCTCACGCGATCATCACGTAAGGTGGTGAACAGAAGGTGTGACGTCATCATGCGAGGTCCCTTGCGTGTTCGCCATAGAGGGTGCCGAATGGAAGGTGTGACGTCACCATGCGAGTTGCATAAGAACCCTTGCGCATTCGGCAACGTGCTGAAAGGAAGGTGTGACATCATCATGTACATCACATGAACTTCTTACATGTTCGACACGACGGGTGCCGAACGGAAGGTGTGACGTCATCATGCGAGGTTCTTTTCCCATTCGGCACGAAGGGTGCCAAACGGAAGGCGTGACATCATCATGCGAGTCGCATGAGTCCCCTTGCTCATTCGGCACGAAGGGTGCCTAACGGAATGTGTGACGTCATCATGCCAGATCCCTTGCCCTTTTGGCATAGAGGGTGCCGAATGGAAGGTGTGACGTCATCATGCATTGCCACGTGTCAGGAAAGTTGAAAGGTTTTTGTGGGAATTGAGGCGTCGTTCCCAATGGGGTGGTTGGGAGGTAATGGTGACGGTTCTCATTCCAAGCCGTTGTTTGATGTCTATATAAGGGGGCGAAGGAGAGAAGTGAAGGTACTTAGAAATTTTCGAAAGATTTGGAAGAAGATCATAGGCGACTTCCGGTGAAGTGATCTGTGGTGTAGGCGATTTTTGACTAGGCGAGGGCGAAACCATCCCCTTATTAAATTTTGCAGGTGTGGAACTGCAAAATTTTAAAATGCCAAACTTTTACTCCAAGTCTAGAGTTATATCTTAAGTTTTTGTAAGTATTTTGAATAAGGAACAAGTTATTGTTCCCCAACAAGTTGAATTTTTAGTTTGTTTTGAGCTTGGTTTAAAATCTAAACATTTTGTTTTGTTTGTTTGTCTTTAATTACTTTTTTTTAAAACGACACTGGAAAATCAATACCAGCTGCAAAAAATTTGGGCAAATACAAGAGAAGCAAGAGTCCAAGTAGGAAAGGAACTACAAGCAAAACCAACTAGAGTAAAAAACTAGGGCAAGCTAAAAAATAACAGGCTACGGAACAATACAAGATGGAGAAAATCTGAAAGAGAACAACTCCAAGACGTTGCCTCAAGTAGGCAGAGAGCATCACCATCCAACGAGTATTTCTAACTGACAATGGTTGGTGGGCATGGAACACCATCCTTGTTCAAAATTCCAATTAGCGAGGATGGGGGTCGATTGACCCAAATCGCTTGTCTCATCCTCGACGCGGCTAACTTGGCCAAATGGTCAGCTACCAAGTTTTGCATTCCTGGACTCACTTATTACCCAATTTGGCGCTGGGGGCAAGACTCAATTGCTACCTTGCAACGCATTTTTCAAATGTACCAACAAATATGTGCAATATGCACCAAGATAATTTGCATATCAGTTGGGTTGACTTGCAAGCTTTTGAGCAAAGACTACAACCAACTATCAAGTGTGGTTATTGTTGCATCAATAACGAACGTAAATTCATATGCTAGCTATCCAATTTAAAATACTCGCAAGTGTTCAAATCTATTGGAGTATAGATTTGTAAATACGAGATTGTTCCCATGAGGACTTTATAATTTATATGCAAATCTAGTTTGAGTATGTTAAGACTTAATTTAAACATGAACACAAGAAATGAAAAAAGAAAAGTGAAAGGAAAAAACAGGGGAAAAGCAACCGATCGGTTTTAATAAAGTGACCGATCGTTTTGCACAAAGAGAATAAGTCTCGAGAGAAAAAAAAAAAGGGGACCTCTGTTTCCAACTTCGACCTTTGTTTTGTTT